TACCGGGACTCTCCCGTGCCCTTTAGGCACAAACCCCACGGAATCCCAGCAATGCCGCCTGATTCCTGCTTCCGCACCGGTGGGACCGCCTTTTATCGCATTTCCCCCCGTTTTCGCCTGCTTTTATAGCGTTTTTCCCTGTTTCCATCTCCTTGCCCCTCTGCGCCCTTTCCTTTTCGCCCGTTCTTGCTGCTTTCTCTCCTTCTATTTGGCACCTCCACCCCGGCTGCCTCCCCCCCTTCGGGCTTCCACCCTCCCCTCCCTGTTCCCCTTCCCCGCTCCCTCCCTTCCCCTTTCCCTCCTTTCCCCCTCCCCCCCTTCCCCTGCTCTAGAGTCTGTGGCCCTTGCTACAGCAAGCGGCACGGCTGCGCTCAAGTACAAATACTGCGGTCACACGGATAACAGCTAGTAACGTATATACAACATTGAAATTGATAGCTCCTTCATACAAAGTTGGTCCGACGATCACTCGTAACTTCGAACAAATTGGACCGAATCATGCCTGGATACATCGAGAAAAAACCGATCCCAAATACCTCAAGAGAAGACATTGTAGCCACTACCGTCGCCGAGTCTTTATTCTTCATGCTTTTTCTTGTTTCACCTGGTTGCGCTAGCCAAAATTCGGATCCAGACCTTTCTTCTGCAAGCCTCCCTGTCAGTCTCAATCTCATCGGGCGCCACGCATGATTGCTAACTAAGCAGCAGCCGACACACCAGGCAATATTAACATGTTTCTCACACACTAACTAACAGGCGATTTTTCTTCTGTGGGAGAAGGGCTTGTGAAGATAATTACCGCCTATCACAGATAAGGACCGACGAAACTTCATCGATTTGTGACCAAACAGAAGAGCAGCGATGAGCTAGGACTAGCCTTTCATAGGCAGAAGCATTTAATGCTTCTGCCTATGATATATATACAACAACGCAAACCGTTGAAGTGGCTACTTCAACAATTTATTGCGTCGCTGTTCAATTTCGTCACGCAGTTGTTATTGGTATGGTTATCAGAAAGTTGAGGGGGCCTTGGCCCGAAAGTTCGCGTTCGCCATGCCATCGGTGAACACATTTTGAAAAAATGTCCGATGCTTTTTCTATATAGACGCGAATGCTCCTCCCTGGTTCTCCCTGGTCCTCCAGGGTCCTCCCTACTCCCTGTCTATAAATTTCTCTGCCATTATAATATCACGATCCCGATCGGATCACAAAACAGCTAGGGCCAGAGCCACATCCGATACGTATTAACTGTCGACGAAACGATGAGGCCCTGCATCTTCTGCTAAAAAAATCAGAGCAATGTACAGTCAGGACCGCTCCGTTGGGGTATGTGTCGATACAGTATAATTGCGCCGCGGCGCTCCTACGCCGCCGGAGCATCAAGAGCTTTATTGTACAAGGAATACTCTACGACGAGATAGTGCTAGTGGTAACGTAACTAGACTGAAAGTGAAACAAGTTTTCAGATATTCGCATTGATCGAGTTGAGCTATCAATCATCAACGAGGTGAAGGTGGATGCGGAAACGTAGAATTTACTCATCGTCATCATCTGACCGTACATTTTTTTTCTGTACAAAACATTGAAACCGAAAGCGACACGTCCTCCGCTGCAAATTCTCTTGTCAGTTGTAGTTCTAGTTGTAGTAGGTGTAGGTCATTCGTTTACGTTTCTCTTTTAATATTATATCTGTATTTCTTTGATGTTTTTAATTTTTTTGACAAGGAAATGCAATGCCTTGAGAACAATGATTTCATTTTTCATACGCTTAATTTAATTTTGAAATAACTCTTTTCGTTTTTATTTTTCCGGAGTTCGCGTTACTGTTTCGGCAATCCCTGCTTTTACCACCGGAATTGGAACGATCTTTCTGCTCACATCCGGAACCTGGTGAAGTTGTCGCCTCTCACGCTCGGAACCTGGGAGATGCGATTTTTCAATGATCATATGACAATGCTGTTCGCATGTTCACCGGTCTTTGCCATTTCACGTCATGTTCGACTTGTGAGTCGCATAGCATGCAGATGCATTCAACGCTAGAAGAATAATCAAAACCTACCCCCACACTTATTGCAGACAAAATGTTAATGTAGTAACTCACAAGTACCTCCAAGTCCAATCGCAATCATGTATAATCTGTTCCCGAGCAAGTGCACTTTGCTAGTCCGGCTTGATGTTGTTCTACTACTATATACACGATACTCGTAGGCTTTGTTTCCTGTGGACGATCTCGATCATAGATACATAATATCAAAACTTCGATTAATTTGTTAGTGAAGATAGTGTTGCAAACGATTTACTTTCAAATACAGTCGCATTTTGTTTAAGAATTGCCTAGTAGTTGCTTTTTTGGTCATTCCTTTTTTGGTCATTCCTCCTCGACCAACGATATTTTCGTTTTCCCGGAAGCAAAGATCCAGGCTCACGGATTTGGACTGTGCAACTCCTTACATGCTCCTACCTGAAAATATGCAATTAACATTTTCGTTTACATTTGACATTAACGTAAACGTTGGCTTTGACTTTGTAAAGAAACATAAAGTCGAAGGCGAATATCATCACATGGTGGAGCTCCAGCTCTTGATCACGCGCAATCAGTTAAAAAAATCATACCGTGCATTCATCACTCCGCCTGCACGTCGGCACTCCTCGTGGGAGATGAGGGGCTCGTGATTGATCGACTTTCCTCGTGTGTAGTACGCTGCGACACTTCGATCCTGCCGTCGCTTTGTTGCTCGTAAAAATCTTCAGTTCTTTCTTTGCCGGCATTCCTTTTGCAATCAAATCTTCTGCCCTCGTCTCTTCTCTGCCATTAGTTTGGTTTTGCTTTGTGAAGTCACTGCTTAGCCAGTGCGCTTTCTTTTTGCGCGGCCGCGGACAACGGTCTTGGCGCGCGCATCCTCCGTAGACGAGCTACATGGGCTGGATGACTTCGTCGGGGTTCACATGTTGCTGCGCTCCTTGACCCTGGCGCTGCAGTTGCTGGTCCACCCACTCACCGGCTCGCACCCCCATTCGCATCGATTCTTCTGGACTCGGTAGGCCCGCACCCCCACACGCCGCTACGCAGTATTCGTAGAGGGGACTCATGATTCTTTGTCCGAAGATAATTCTCCGCCTCTGCGCCGCGGTGGGTCCTGCCGCACCTTCCCCACTTTGCACGAACGACGACTCCACGGCGAGGACACCGGTCCTCTCATCCAGACCGCCTTCGCAGAAGGTCTGGCACTCCTCCGCACTGACCTGCCCGTCCCCGTCGGTGTCCGCAGCGTACAGGCACGCCGCCTCCATCTCTTCGTAGCTGATTGCAGTGCTGTTCCCCATGGTGTTGTTCTTCCCAGCGGTGTCGACCATCTCCGCAGCGGCCTCACCATCCGCGGCAACCGCAACAGAGGCAGCCATTGCTTTGTCCTCGTTCTTACCGTCGTTCTCGTCTTCCAAACCGCCGGCGGCCACTGCAGTAGACGGAGTAGCCGCACCACCAGCGGGCGCAGCCGTGTCGCCACCACAGCACGCCGAGGTTGTAGCTGGGGTCGTTGCAGCGGTGGTCGACGACTCATCTTCGGGCTTCTTCGGCAGCTCGGCCGGATCCATGTCGCCAGCGGGAGCGGCAGCGGCAGCTTCATCATGATTGGTGGAAGACCCCGCGCCCCGGAGTTGTGTGGTTTTCATCGTCTGCTTCTTCGTGTTCTGCTGCAGCCCGCTTACAAACATCAACCCGGAGCCGGGTTCTCCGGAAATGAGGCCAACCAACACCAGCAGGCTGCAGGTACCGCGGGGGCCGAAATACGGCCAAGTACTACGATGGTCGACGGGCGGCGACATGCTCGCTTATCGCTAGAGCGGGTGTAGTCGCTCTTCTTACAACCTTGCTTCGCCTGCTTCACTCTGGGCTCTTCACACACTCAATCTGAAGAAGGCAAATGTCTAGTCTGTGAAAGAATCGAAATACTACACAGAAGCAACTATCGAAGATCTTCGCTGCTGTACCTTCTACACGAATTGCTCGACAAATCGACGAAAAATCGAATAAGCATTTCCACAAGTCTGCAGAAGTGCTCAGCCTCAGTGAAGCATTGGAGATCAAGATGCCATTGCGTTCGGATAACTGTAGTTCGACTCTGAGTACTAAAGAGCACTTCTACATCGCTCGTTGCACTCCCAGCTATCGCAGACGTAAGAGACGACCAGATCTACAACTCCCGATGTTTTTAACCAGCACTGCTACAGACATCTTTACGAGTTTCCCAACGAAATAAACTTCTGTCGATCACGACCCTTCATTCGACGTCGAATTTACTGCGTTATCGTTTTTTGATATGAGTGCTTACTTCTATCTTACAATCCGGCACGGTTGATACGGCTTATTTCGTGATTTCGGTACTACTATTAACGTGAGCGACTTCATTCGATACACGTCAATACGAAGACTGGCGCAGCGAACAGTCTACGGGCTGGTGTTCCACGGGCAGGTGCTTCAATTGATGTAATCTTTCGCACATCTTCACTGCTTTCGAAACAAGTCAACCTTTCGTGATTTTTGGGCGATGATGAACTTGGTTCGTTACAACAAACGAGAAACTCACGCTCGTGTTGTTATCGATGCAACACCAACAGTAGTTCATCGACATTGTACAACTTCTGTAAACTCTGAATAAAGTCGTGCCAAGTAGTGAAGTGGCACTGCTAATGTGGAATCACTTCATCTTGCAGTTGCAACTAAAGCCCCCACACCTACGTCGGCAGATAATGCTCGCCCGTGACCGGATCGACCATGCTATTTTTGTTCTTCAAATCCGCGTCGTTTTTCACGAGCCCGTAGCATCGGGGACACCGTGCTCTCGTGGTCCCGGAGCATGTAGGACACCGAATTTTTCCCAGTCCGATATCACACAGAAAAAAGCTGGCAGGGCATATCTGTAATGCAAAAATAAATACGCAAAAAAATCTGTATTGCATATCCGAAGCAGCATGCTATGGGGCCACCCATGGCAAATTTTTGTGTGTATTTATTTTATTTGCACTACAGATATGCCCTGCCAGCTTTTTTCCCTGGGATATCCGACGCAGTTTGCGCACGCCTTCGCCTCCCCCCAACAGTCCTCGCACCACCGCCGCCCCAGCCGCGCCACCACGCAGACCGCACACACGCTACTATCGGAAGCTGCCTGGGCCCCCCCCGCCCCCGCACCGGAAGAACCGCCGCCCGCTTGCACGGCGTGGTAGTTGGGGGCAATCGCCGCGGCGTCCTCCTGGAGGTATCCCCGGTTGTCGCAGTTTTCGCAGGCAAACACGTATCCTGTGCAAAAGTATCGCACAACTAGTATAAATTGCATTACAAATTTCCTCAGCATTAAATTTGTAATGCTGATTTACCTTGAGAAAAAGATTTGTAATGCATAAATGCAATTAGTACGAGTACGATACTTTTGCAGTTGATAACACACCCCGGCCGTCGCAGACCGTGCACACCAGGTAGCCGCAGGCCTGGCACTTCGTGCAGGGTACGAAACCGGTGGAGAAGCACAGCTGACAATCGTGTTCGTCACCCGACGGTGGTTCGAGGTCAAACTGGAGCAGCTTTGACGGCAGGGAGGGATATTGTTGTTCTCGCGCGGATAAGGTGGATTTTTGCGAATTTTGCCGAAAGAATGCGTCTTGTTCGTCTTGTTCCACCGCGTCGTGGTCGTCATAGTCATCGTCGTTATAGTTGACCGGATAAGAACCTCCGCCGGCGTACTGCTCTCCGTCAGGGCTGTAGTTGTTCCCACCTTGTTGTCCTCGACGTGCGCCTCGAACCGCTGGCTTTGGTACCCCGCTGGTACCTTGCAGGATTTCCAGTTCGAGCTGCTGCTCCTCCGCGAACGAAAGTGGCGGAAGACAGGAGAGAGGCGGCAACAATGTGACGGCGCACTCGATACTGCCGGCGGCTGTGCCGTTTTGCAGGAACAACGGGCGGGGACTCGTGATGAAGCGCAGCGTTGCGTCGTGGAGAAACAGCAACTGCGTGGAAGCGAGCAAGGTTCCCGCAGAGCCCATCACGCCAATCACGGCGGTGCGGGACATCTTGCTTGCACTCGAAGAAGATGAAGTAGACGCGGAGAAGTAGGTCGAGGATGCGCTGCCAGTTTTCTGCCCTCTGATCGGAATCACGCGGGCGCCGCCACTGCTGCTCTCGTCTATCCTGTGCAAAAGTATCGCACTCGTATAAATGCAGGTCTTGCATTTCTTTGTCAAGGCAAATCAGCATTACAAATTTTATTTCTCATGCTGAGAAAATTTGTAATGCATTTATACGAGTACGATACTTTTGCAAAGGATATCGTCCCACTCCGCACAAAAACAGGCCTCGCCGTGGTTGGTGCCGTCTTGATGTTGTTCGCCATGATGGCCGGTAGTTGATGTGTGGGCCACACCTGTTTTGTGGTTGTTCCCCCTGTCGTGAAACAAACCGACGACGCGCTCCAGTGGGCTGAAATCCGTCGTGTTCTCCGCCGACGCGGGGTGTTGTGCGGTGTCAAGCCCATCGCGAAACAGGACACAGGCGCAGCTCTCGTTCCTCCCGGGCTCCAGGGCACGGCGCAGAAAGTTGGTGCTCTGCCGGCCGACTTCGATCGCGTGGGGGGTCAGCGAAACCTTTCGGACGCGGAGCTCGATGTGCGTAGGGAATGGAAACATGCTGGGAAATTGGAATTGGTAGAGAAACAACTGGGCAACTAATTGTATACGACGCCGACGTAGTGGCTACTCTATCTTCTATCAAGCCGCGACTGCGATTCTTCGTGCCTGGATCTCGAGCAGAAGCGAAGACCACCAATCGAGACGACAGAGTTTTTTCCACAAGCCTCCTGCCCCTCAGAAGTAAGTGCTTGATGAACGCTCACTGTCATATGCAGGAGCATTCGACGACGGGATGGTGACGATCATCAACGACTTACACTCACTCGGCCATAAGTTCTCCTTCTTCGGAAAGAACGACGATTGAATGTTATTCATTCATTTTGGCGCGCGAGAATCATTTTCCATTATTTTGTTCATGGTTTATTTAATGCTTCTTGTTCGAACACGACAATTACTTCGCGCCTTCACCCTCGTTCAAAATCGAAAAGCACTTTCGCTGCACAATAAGAAGAAAGCAGTTCATCTTCATCTTCAAGTCGTGTCGCTAGTGACTGCAGCTGGAAGTCGAGTCCTCTCCTCGTGCTGGGAAATGTTCCCTCGTCTGTCATCGGTGTTTTCCACGGTGTTCTTGAAGCTACACCTTCAGAAGTCACGACGGAGTTGTCTGAGGCCTCGCGCTCCGCTGGTCAGAAGTGTGAAGAACTACTGAATCGCCTCGCGTTCAAATCGCGGAAAGTATCGTGAGGCGGAGGCATACACTGTGCTTGTTTCGATTTGCCCTTCACGATCCGCCGGCGCCGGTGTTGCAGCAAATTTTTCGTTGTGTGAGCTGGCTGTGGCCGCCGCGTTGGTGCTTCATGCGCAAGGACCGAGTGGCATCCCTTGTCGTCGTGGTTGAAGACGCTACTCGACGATTCCGATGAGATACCGGCGTTGGTGAAAGAAAAACTCGGTGTTGCGATCGGCCAGCAGGAGTTCCGCCCGCTTGTCGACCTCGAGGCCGCCGAGTGTAGGTAGGTCCCAGTTCTTTTCGCGAATTTGCCGGTATTTGCCAGATAGGTTGCTCTTGATCCGCGTCGCGAGGTCTGGGAGTTACGATTATTTAGGTGATATAAGTCTGCGAGTTACGAAGATTTTTTCGCGAGCAGGTCTGCGAGGTTGTGCGAGTTTCGAAACCAATAAAAAAATAGTTTCAACAGCTTCGGGCCCAGACCCTGCACGCTTCAATAACATGCGACAACTATCACCAATTAGCTATGCGCCTAAAATGAGCATCGGAACGAGCGAAAAAAGGAAAACGACACTCATCAGCAGAAGCAACAACAAACTTCATCGTTTATACTTGCGTCTGTCTCTCCTTTCCGACTTCTTGCTTTTTTCGAGGGTATGAAATGACCAAATACGGATGTAGTGCTCTTTCCTGATGATGTTCAATGAGTATTATGATATCTTGAATCACCTACGTCTTCTTGAGAACTTTTCGGACCTGTCTGCGCAGCTAGCCCCATGTTGCTGAGATTTTCAGTTTCGCAAAAATATAAAGCAAGTTCACGCGCCGGACACGGACGGTGACGATCCAAAATGGATTAGTACAAATGGACCACAGCCAGAACTGCAAACGACGAAGGTGATCATTGAGAACCAACTTCAAGTAGAAAAATCGAAAGAGCAGTTTCCTGCTCCCAGCTTCACTTTTCCCTTGGCTAAATTGTTTCCGGAGTTGGGCTGCGGCCACTGCGGGGTCCACTTTCGTTGCTCCCCCACTTGTTCCACTGGGTTGCTGTCCCCCGCTTGCGGTTTCCTGTTGCAGCAACAGATCCGACTCCGAAGCGCGGTTGATCGCTGCGCGCAGCCGCGTATGGAGTACAAATTTATTTTCATTCCCGCGGCACGCGTAAAAAATGCATCACAAGTTTCGCCAAGAACAGTAGAGTGGCGAGACAAAAACGTGTCGTGCTGTTGACCACTAGAATCGAAGGGAAGTTTTCTCGTGCAGAAACGACGGACCGTAGTCCATTTTAATACTAGTACGTCTTGCAGTACGGGAATCAGTTCACTGTGGATCATAACGTGGCTCCGTCTGCAAGAGCCGCTCAATCTGTCGGACTCGGTGGGCGGGCACCGTGGCGGTCCTCGGTTTGCCGGATCCCCCGCTGCCAGCTGCGGCACCGGCTTGCGCGGCTCCGTCTCCCGCGGCGTTTTCGTCATCTAGCTGGGTGCGCATTTCGCCAGTCTCGGGGTCGAAGATCGTCGTTTGACACTGCTGATGCATCGCAAAAGTAGTAAATCTCCGTAGTACTAGTACTGAGGGATCTGACTGTGAAACTTGTCATGCAGGATTCCGGTAAACGTATAATTATATTAATGTTGTATAGCAATTTCTAGTACGACAACATTCCGATACTTTTGCGCGTGATAAAGGTCTTGCTTTTTCTGCATCACACTCTGCAGAAGCTGCAGGTGGTCATACTTCCACAAATCCGCCACGTGCTCGCGAATCCGGCTGGCCAGTCCGCCGCCCGCCGTGATGTCAACTGCCTCCCCACCACTAGAGCTGTGGACGGAATGCAAAATCCGGTCGACCCCTTCCAGCATGTATGCATTGCAATTTTTCTGTTTTTTTACTACACGACGATGTACAACAAAACTCAACACCAGCATGACAAGTTTTGTTTCCTCCATTGCCCAAATTTGTGATGCATATGGTACTTCTTACGTCGTGCACGGTAAAAAACCTTGAACACTCGCATAGCATGTTTTTCACGGTCACGTCCTCCTCCAGCAGCTCTCGCCATTCCTGCTTGGTAAACGCGAGACCAAGCTCGTCCAAGCGCTGCTTGCCCAGTTCCACCGCAACATAATTGGGATCCACCACGTCCCCCGCGGGATTTGCGGCCTCGCGCGATTTGCTGCGGCCCGGCGGTTGTGACTGGGGACTTGTGCTGCTGGGGATTTGTGCGGCCGAAGCCGCGGGGTCTTGCGGGAGAGAGCTGGAGTTGGCCGACATGGTTTCAGAAGGAACACAGACAAGAAATCGATAACTCAAACGGACATCAGTAAATACGTACTTTATTCTTGTTTCTGTGAGTATTAAAATTGAACGACTACGACTCACCTCTCTCTTTCTCTCTCTGCAGCTGTTCATCGGTTTCATCTTCTGGCGGCGTCACGAAAATCTCAGTCCCGGATCTTCTGGCGGGTGCTGATGTAAGCCTTAAGCCATGCGGCCTAGACAGTAGCGGCTAACATAGAAATAGCACACTCTTGCGCATCGCCGTTGCTTGTGTGTGTTTTTTTTTCTTTCGAGTGTTTTGTTGTGAATCTTGGAAAATAATAAAAGTCCAAGGCGTGATGTTCAAAGGCGTCGCTGTCGTTCGTGAGAATTATGGGGCATCTTGCAGTATTGCGGTTTGCCTTGCTTCTGCAGCCGCGTCCAGGGGGACCGGGTCAGGTTCATCTACTAGCAGTCATGTTCTACACACAGGTCGTGGCTAGAAAGCAACATATCAGACAGGATCTTCACCATCTGGGACAAGGACAGCGAAAAATTGACGCGTTCCACCACCGTAACAAGACTAGTTTTTTTTGCCCACTGTCGTGGCCCTCCCGACCGCATCCACAAGAAAGATTCGCAATTGTTCTACGAACGCCGCATAGTGGTCAGCCTTGCTGGTGACGTATCATACCAAAATCTTCCTGCGTCACAACGGTCAAGCTGACAGCGGATTGCAGTTCACATGCGTGGTCATGCGTCGTGATATTTCCCCCACTGATGTTGACACGAGGAGTCCGCATAGGTGGAGTCCCCAAACGAGGAAGTTGAGTCAGAATACATAAGAGCTACTAGTACTCGAAGGCGATCAACGAGACCGACAGCTTGACAATCATGACCAAAGTAGATTTGCTTCTGATACTGTTTTCCTTCATGTGCGCTGCAAAGTCGTCTATCATCACCGGCTATGCATTGCAAAAGTATCTACTACCTCTCCCTCGCATTAGCAAATTGCAACCCTGCAGCAGGACAAAACAAAGTGCTTTATCTTTACCTAAATCTGCATTTACAAGGGCAATTTCCATCTTTCTTTCGGGACAAGTTTGCCATGCAATTCATCATGCTAGTACAAGTTAGGCACAAGCAGGCTTTTGCATTGCATACCGGCCATGCGCCGTCCTCGTCGTAGTCCTGTCGTGCATTGATTCATGTTGATCTTTCAGAAGAAGAAAAATCAATTCGAAGAACCTAAGTAGCGCTCCTCTGCCAAGCAACAGCAGGTTGAGGTTTATTTTATGCTGGTGCCAACATGCGAATCATCATCATACAAAATTGTAGAGCATGCTGGACCTAGCCCTAGGTTCTCACCGTGAAGTGAGTGGCGCTGAAATGAAATCGACGCAAGTGAGTGTCTTACCGACAAATCGGCTTTGCAGGTGAGCAACTATCAAAAGAAAAAGCTGAGCCGTGGCCGTGGTTCCTGACAATATTCAATTCATTAAACACAAGGGGCAAAAGCAACAGGAGCATACGTCGCAAGTAAAAAAGTTGAAGTTCTTATTGCATACAGCACGCTCTAGAATAACTTGGACTAAAAATCAAAAATTCTTTGCCCCTGGTGCTGTTTCTGTAGTTTCTTATATCTTTCTTCACATAGAGCAGGACATGCTTATGATGTGTCAAACGGTTCAGACCAAGCTTTTTGCTCTTTGATAGCAGTAGGTCGAAGACCATATTCCAGACGTCCTTTGATATTGCCGGTTTTTTGTTATGCTCTTCGACGTAAACGAGCCAGCTGTTTGCGAGTTCCGCGTTCCCAAAAAGCGGCAAAAGCAGTTTCCAGACTTCTATCGCCATCTGATTTTTTTTGTGATTTGTATGTTGGACAGTGGAAAGAAAGAAATGGAAAATATTGCGAGTGGTCTTCAATACGATGATGTATTTTCATCTTCGGTGTTGTACCACACAGAATTATGATTATCAATCGTTTTTGGAATATAAATAAGTCATCCGCGTAATCCCCATATTGATACAACGTCACAGAATGCCATGATTTTTCTACCTCTTTCCCGAGCTGCTTTTGGCCTGGCTCGAGGGAAAGGAGGAAGACGTTGTTGTAAACACGTTTGCACAAGGGATGCGTTGGCTGTAGTTGGCTCCGCATCTCGTCTACCCTTTCACGGAGCTGCGCGCAATCCTGTGCACCAAACACGGCGAGACCTTTGTTGATTTCGGAAAAACAAAAATAGATAAGGACCACCTGGATACCGGGTGAAAAGAGCAACTTTGTGGCCGCTCTTCACTACTGGCCTCATTTTCATTTGACACTCAACACATGAACAGAAATCGAAATGCGGTGCACCATCGAGAGAATTATCCAGCTCTGATTCGATTGGACGAGGTCATCATGCGATAAGAAAATTTGCAAAGCGTCACTGCCTCTGTCGCGTGAAGGTGACACAATCTTTTCTCACAGAACTGGGAAGGAGGACAGAGGCCGCCTAGATATCAAAACAAACTCAGCATTTTCTTGCGTTTTCCACTCTATACCGTGCAAAAACTCGGTTTTTGTGAAGCTGCCCATCTGTTTGGCGCCGCAGTGGTAACACCAAACCAGGGCTACGGGGTCCAGGGGCGAAAAGCCGAGGTCTTCGCACAGTTTCTCGGTGCCTGTTTCCGTTATTATCAGCTCACTGCTGCCGTCGTCCGGCGTTTCGGCGTACTGCGCAAAAAACGCTTCCTGCTTCCGCGTGTCGGGCTTTGGCGGGGCGTACCCATACTGCCCGCGCGACCCCCCGGACCGTCCCATCCCTCCCGTCATGCTGGCAAACATGATGGACTTTTACAGGAAGTCGAAGAAGTGCCGGCGGAAATTATGCTCGTGAAGTACGAAGGTTTATTTTCCGGCACTAGTTGTTGATGCTTCTTTTATTGATACTGATTCAGTATCTGTTCCTAATGTGTATGTAGTTGGTGTGTTGAATGTGAACGATGTTGTAACCGCATCGGTGGATGAATTCGTCGCGCGTTTGTTCTTGAGTAGCTGCTGCAATAGCGTGCTGTCTTGTGGTGTTCCACGGGAAGGCTTCCTTGCGCTGAAGACGCGGGAGTGTTGTGCTTCTCGTTCTCTCCGGGGTTGTGCTCGTCGAGTAACAAGCTTTGCTTGTGTTTATTCCAACGCGCAGACCGCCCCCTGTCCTCCTTGTGGGATCTTCAAGTAGAATAAACACTACCTGCGAGATGAATTATTGTGCGGGTAAAAAATCACCGCAGGTGTTCTTGAGTTGTGGACCAACTGCTGGTGCTCCTTACTGCAGGGAAGATGTTCACGAGGATCATCGAGCTAACCGTTCTCCAGGTCGCCCAGGCGTGTGGTCTGCGTCTGGCCTTTGGTCATACTCATAGAATCTCATTTTTGCATTTGCTAGAATCATAATTTCTTTTCATCAAGATCAAGATAACTCAAAATAGTTGTAAAAATGCTAAGTAACTGTTCTTGATTTCTTTCTATGACATAAACACTTCTGTTGAAATAAACAGAAATACTGCGAACATAATGAAGGGGATAAAATCACAATAGAAAATGGATCAACATGATCGTATTAAATAGTAGCTTTGAAACAAGACCCGAATTATTTACCTCAACACTTCAGGAAGGGATAGAAAATTGAAATTCTGAATTTGTGTGTGTGCGCCGTACGCATTGGATCCAGGATATCGAACGTAGTATCTATTAAGATCTCCACATCAACAAGAAACGAGGAAAAATAGTGACCACCTGATAGCCAGCACGATATTTGTAAACACGAAAGAGCCAAAAATAAATCGTCGTTTTTTCGTCTCATAATTTTTTCTTTGCAGCTCTGTCTGGTGCTTCTTCTTCAAAAACGAAACGCAGAATGAACCAACACGACCTCCATCCGCGCTAACTAGTAGGCCAACAACCAGCTGCATCTGACCGTCGTCCACATCAGTCGAGACGACCTGTCGCGGCCATCAGAGCCTGTTCTTCGCTATCGATATTTCATCTCCAGCTTCTTCATCCACTTATTTTGTATTTGTACAGTGTTTTCATTTCCTTAGCTGTTGTTCGCTTCAATCTTCATTTCGAAATACCCAAAATCTGGACGATCGCGACGCTATATGCTCTGTTTTCCTTCGCGTTGTCATGATAGCAGCTGAAACAAAGCTTGTTCTCCTGGCTAAATTCTACAAAAACTTGGTTACTTTTATCCGTTTTCTGTATTCTCACGAACAGGTCGCTGTTGAAAAAAAATCATCAGTGTGCTGCTGTGCCAGCGCAGGACTGCTAGTGCAGCATGGTAATACTTAGGTCGTAGTAGATATTCTAAGTCTAACTATATCCATCATCAATGTTAATGTGCTCATTTCACCTCCTGCTTCTCTAGTAATATGCCGTGTCATTTTTCGCGTCAAAGTTGGGCATGGTGCAGTTGGTGTCGAAGAGACGCAAACGAAACTGGTCCGAATTGTAGTCCGCCAAAGTGTATGAGTTGCAAAAGTATCGCACTCGTATAAATGCATTACAAATTTAGCATGAGAAATAAAATTTGTAATGCAGATTTGCCTTGGGCGATAGATTTGTTGTAAATGCAAGACTTGCATTTATACGAGTACGATACTTTTGCACAGGATAGAGTGGGATTCCCCCGCCGCCGCAACCAAAAGCCCTTTCCGTCGTATCACGCGTGACAAGGTCTTTTACTCCCGCTCCCCAGTAGGTTTCCGATTTATAACACGCCCAACGATTAAATCTTAAACTACTTTCAAAAATGTTGCCTAGCTTCTAAAAGTCCGTGCGCAGGCTCTACCATGTTGGCCCGGTGCATCGGCAACGTGCCCTGTGTAAAGCATGACTCCAGCCTGTCGACCGGCATTGCCCCTCAACGCCATGCCCCAAAGGAAAAAGGCACAACAAGCAAGACCACTGGGGGCGGAGGCATAATTATCGTGCGCCAGGGCGCTTCTTTCGCAATGGCAACGATAGCCCCTTCTGGGCCATCGCGCGCGCCGCGCTTCGCTTTCACTGACGTGCGGGCGCGTGCTTCCGAATCGCTGGAGGGCTGGCCAATTTACGGCTGCGGTGCGGCGCGCTGGTTTGTGGTCCCGACTGACAACCCTTGTCGCTGTGCCGCTCCTCGCGCCCTGCGGAGGGCGCCGGAGCTGTGAAAGGCGGCGGCCAGGTTTTTTGTCTACTACGCCACTGCTGTTCCAGTGGGCCGCTCAACACAGGCCTGCTCACTGCTAGGCGCGACTCGCTCTCGCTTCTCCCCAATGCGGGCGCAAGCGGACCCATAGGCCGCCCGCTGTTATTTTGCGCGGCCTCAAAGAGCGCGCCCCGCCATTAGCCGGCCAGAAAAAATTGCCCGTGGGTGTGCGCTGCCGCTTTCTGGTAGGGACGCGAATTGCTCCGCCGCTTTGATGGAAGCAGGTCGCGTTCCCATTCAGCATCCAATTGCCGCCGAGCCTCCACGCATACACCTGGCGATTTTCTCGGCCACCCCAGGGGGCCTCGGCAGGGGGTCTGAGGGGGTCCTCAGACCCCCCCTCTATACCAACGCCCAGCAAGACCTAGCTTTTTTGCAGCCCCCACGGTACGGTCCGCCAAAGGGGGGTCCCGAGACCCCCACCAATAACCCCCCCTCGATGGGCCGGAAGCTTCTGCCGTGTCTTTCGATTTCGCAGAAAACGGGGCGGCGGCCCTTCAAAGAAAACGCGCCCCAGAACATCTGGAAGGGCGCGAGGGTGTGGCGTTCGGGCTGCACACCGATACCCATTCCAGGCTTTTCCCAGGTAACTTTCTTGCATGCGCCGCTGCCCCGGTTACGGGCTTGGTGTGTGTGCATGCTTCCCCGGAAGCGTAACTAAGGCCGATTGCGGCGCCGCCGCGTTTTGTGCGCCGCGGGGGCGCGCGCATTCTGCTCCCAACAAAAGGACGGCCACACGTACCCGCACGAAGGCGGTGGAGTTTGTCTACCTGCCTGGTCCGTCGGCCCCCGGGCCCGGGCGAGGAAATACGAAAGCAGGGCCGAAGGGTGTTCCACGTAAGGAACCGGCTCAGCACATGGGCCCGATCACAAAAACACACACGCGCCCAACTCGCTTCGGCAGGCGGTTTCTTTTACTCCCGCTCCCCAGTAGGTTTCCGATTGTGCTGTAGTTGCACAGCAGTTTTAGCAATAGGACTTACTAGCTTGTGATCTCAATCCAGTAACTAACTCTACCTTGCATCTCGTCTGCATGTGACAAGCTGAGACGAACAAGACAACGCGGCTTACAGTTAGAACTACATGCAGATGGAGTAGACGTGGACCACGTGCACTCGCTTTTAATAGGGACTCATGCGAAACCTCCATCTGCTGGGTAGAGCAATGACGGAGTGGATCTTTTCACGCAGGATAGGTCGCCCTTATACCACATTTGGTCGTCCACTTGTCCCGTGTCAGACTGTCGGTTGTCGCTGTCGAAAGGAGCTGTGCAGCATTGAGGTGGAACTACAATTTTTTCTGATCGTGAAATGCGTATGACGAAAACAACTTTTCTAGTAGCTACAGCAACACAAACAAAGTAAAGAAGCTAGGAGAGTTCATGATGTTCTACATGATGAAATATACAGGGTCGCACTGGCGGGGTATCGGTGTATCGCAGGCGCAGCGTGTAAATGTCCGGCGAATTCGGATAGTGCACCAGTTCGAACCACTGCGAGGTGCGGTAGTCGCAGTAGTTGTATCCTGTGCAAGAGTATCGTACTCGTAGTAATCGAAGTTATGCATTACAAATCTTTTTTTCAAGGTGAATCCGCATTACAAATTATGTTTCTCATGCTGGGGAAATTTGTATATGCAATTTACATTAGTACGATACTTTTCCAATCCATAAGTTGTTGTACACTACCAAATATTCCTCGGGCGGTTCCAGCGGCCGCGAACTGTTCGTGAAGATCTCCGTACCGAGACACCACCCGGTGTGCGACGGTCCTTCGTAGGTCAGATCGTACGTGTCGCCCTCGGCAACCTCCAGCTGGACCCATTTCGCCGTCCGGTTGGCGCAGCCGTAGTCGGGCGGGTTTGTGTTCAGGACCACCCCGGGCTCCATGCAGTCCAGCTGCTCTATGGCGTCCTCAACTGTTACACTCTCAAGTGTTATTAAATACATGAATTTGTGATGCAAGAATGGAAAGAGTGAACGAGGCGACCTTGCGCGTCTGGCATGACAGATTTGGCACAGATTAGCAGCCTGTTTGGCCCTCTGATAATTTGTCATGCGAAGCAGCGTGATGGTGTCGATTCTGAAGATAGTCTTGCATGGCAAATCATGTAACAGTTGAGAGTGTAACATTTGAGAACGCCATATGCTCCGTGCGTTCCATCGTGTGCTTGATGAAAAACGGCGTTGCGTCGGGGTGGGCCATATCGTTTGCAAAAGTTGTATCGTGTATCGTGCTCGTAGTAATTACCGCAAGTAGTCATGCATGACAAACCTCCTGTTCATGTTCAAGGTAAACCAGCATGAGAAATTCGAACTCCACTTGTCATGCTGAGCTAGTTTGTGAAAATGCACTTAGTACTACTAGCAAGTACGATGCAGCTTTTGCAATCTATACGCCACATCCGCGTCGCTGGAGTTGGAGTACCAGTGGGGCAGGTCCTGCCTTGTCGTGTCGCGCAAAATTTTGACGTCGCAGTATGCACTGCAAAAATGTCTGGGTCTGGAAGGAAGGATGCAACTTGTCATGCTAAGTTTGGACTGTGAAAAAATCTGTGTTGCATGGTTGCCAAAAGTTGTCCACTTTTGACCAAGTTGGGAGGGAGTTTCTCATGCAGGGTAGGCATAATAGAGATCGCACAGAATCTGTTATGCTAGGGCCTGCATTCCAGCCCTCGTGGGTCATGCAAATGCGCATTCCATTCTTCCAGACCTAGACACATTTGCATTTGATACGCAGACACGCTTGACGATGGTGGCCCGCTGTTGGTCCACTTCGAGTTCGGTCGCGATGTCACCCCGGTAGGTATCAGAGTGCACAACTAGTACAACTCCCCCTCGTCGTCCCCCTCAATTTTCGCAGCAAGTAAGCAGGAGGACCAGCAGCGGACCCGGCAGCGAAAATGATGGTGCATCGACATCACAAGTTCAGGCAGTGACTGCACCAGTATACTGAAACTAATGTGGCGCTCGACCTCGCGGGTTGATCATGTCGTGAAAACCACACAGCTTCAAGATCAACACAGCATACAGCACTTGCTATTTATTTGCATGACAGATCATGAGGGGAGCAGGGGGCTTTTGGTTTTGTCGTCGGCTTTGTGCAGTCGGATAGTAGGCCACCGTGCGACACAGGTCGTTCTTGTCCTCGTTCTTGCTTTTGGTTTCCGGGCCCCACTGTACCTGGAGGTAAAAGTCCCGGGCCGGGTCTGCGCTCTGCAGTGTAAAGGCGGCCTGCCGGTTCAGGGGGCAGGCAGGCACGTCGGGTTTGTTTTCGTAATACATCTTGTCGTACGGCGCCGGCTCGTCGTTGTTCGTGTTCGGATCCGAAAACGGCTTTTCCTTGAGCGGAATGCGGCGCCACGTGGACTCCCGGTTGGTATCGGATTTGGCCCAGGGGATCTGCTTCATCCCCACAAAGTTCGTGTCCGGGACGCCCGGAATTGCGCTCGGGTCCACGTTATCCAGTGCAAATTTGTCAGGGTCTGGAAGAGTGTAAGTTTGTCATGCTTGTCTCTCATGACTCCTAAGAACTTTGTGATGCATAAGCCTGAGGAGAGTCTCTCGCCTGTCATGCAAAAACGCAGTTTGCCATGTAGAAAGCGAAACACGGAGCAGGAGCTCAAGAACTTGTCATGCTTGGCTGCGTGTTGCAGCGCTTCCAACAATCCCAAACCAGCATCACAAGCTTCCAGACCCAGACATATTTGCATTAGATACACATCGCTGGAGGTGTAGCGCAAGGGCCCGCCGGATTCGGGCTTCAGGTCCCAGTTCGGATTTATCCTGTGCAAAAGTATCGCACTCGTATTGCAATCATGCATTACAAATTTTTTATTTTTTCTCAAGGCAAAACAGCATTACAAATCTTATTTTTCATGCTGAGGGAATTTGTCATGCATTCATACGAATACGATACTTTTGCAGTTCATAGGATTTTCCACGTACTGGAAGACGGTATCGTGGTCGAGCGACCCCGGGCCGGTGTTTTTGTAAGTGAAGAACATGGAACCACCCTCAACTTTTTTGTCTTTCTGTGGAAGGCTGGATACGGAACTCGTCTTAGTGCTATGTTGATCAGCGTCGGTCGTGCTTTTTTTGCTGACTTCAATTTCGTTCGTCGAGGTGCTCTGCTCATTCACAACTTTCTTGCCCTTCACGTTCTTCTTGATCCCGTTCTTTACTCCGGAAGCTGAAGCAGCACGGATTTTCTCTTTTTTGTCGTTTTTTTCTGCATGGTGATGGGAGGTCTTCAACAGCGAGGAGGCCTGATGCTGGTCAACACGGTTCACGACTTGCAGAGCGAATGCTGCGCCCGGAGCAGGTTGGACAGAGTCAGAGAAGGTAACGTCCAGCACGACCTTGTAAATACTCCAGCACGACCAGCACGTCGACATGATCTTCATAGGACGGCGGGCGAGCATTTGAAGTAGAAGCTGGAGAGATTTTCTAGACCCCGCAGAAGCTCCTGCTGTTGCACCTACAGAAGCTGCATTTTTAGAATTTTTCCGAGTGGTCTTCTGATCACTCATGGTGCGTCTACGGCAAAACAAGGACCGCGATGCATTGTTCCGGGGGAAAAATCCTGGTGCTGTCCACCGTCCGCACGAATCTTCTCGTGGGACCGCTTTATCCGGAGCCTGCTTCCCGTCCGGCTCCGGGGGAAGCTGCTGCTGGTGCAGTAAAAACATGATGGCGCTGCGGATTATCCTCCGACCGGTGCTGCTTGAGGCGAGGAACAAAAAGTTCTTGTAGAAGGATTGTGCAGCAGGAGTAGTCCACGACCTCGCGGGTGGTGGTGGTCCCAACAAGCCCTATTGGTGGACATAGGCAGGATCATCCCCCCAAGGATCACCCCCCTCAAGATGCAGGGGGGGTTAGGGGGGCCAGGGGGTGGGCCGGGGGCAGGAAGGTAGGGGGCAACGAGCGAGGCCGGGGGCAGGCAGCCAGGCTACGGGGGGGGACAAGGGCAGGCGGGCCGGCGGCAGGCAGACCGGGGGCAGGGCGGGGCGGCGTTGGTATTTGCTGGAAGGCCTTCCCAGAGGTTTCCTGGGCCAAGATGTGCTACAGGCGGGCAGCCACCCGAGGAAGCCCGGGAGCGCCTAGCGCCTCGCCCCCTGAGGCAACAAAGGCGGCACAGTGAGCGAGCCCCCCCGGGCGGGGTCACGGCAAACCAACGAAGGGGGAAAGGGGGGGCAAAGAACAGAGAGGGGCGCGAGGGCGGCAAGGCCGGCGGCGCGTGCCTCCGGCCCGGAACAGGAAGGGGCAAAGGGGAATCGTCTGGGCCAGCCGTCGCGACGGCGCCGTCGCGACGGCTGGCCCAGACGACACCGCCGAAACCCTAAACCCTAAACCCTAGCCCAAACCTAAACCCTATGCCCTTTAGGGGGGTGATCTTGGAAACTTGAGGGGGGTGATCTTGGAAACTTGAGGGGGGTGATCTTACCTTGAGGGGGATGATCCGGCCTACGTCCCCTATTGGTCTTCAACAAGAAAGCTAGTAAATAATAGAGACGGGCACCCGGCGGCGTGGCCGTCTGCTGCTTGTACTACGTTGTACAAGCCATTGACGTGCTTTCTGGCGCCGGGGAGCAACATTGATGTCAGCCCGGCCACAACATCGTCTCTTTTTCTGGAACTCCAAAAAGCACTGACTGTTCTTTTATCGAGTCAGTTTGACTACCGCTTGTAATTGGTTTTGCTCTTGCGGTGGTACTGGTAACAAGATCATAAGTGAAAATAAAGAAACAAAGCCGTCATCATCTTGGGGTTCCGGCTCGCCTCGTATCGCTCTCAAAAAAAATCACGTAAGCAACAGCTCTACTCAAGTATGAAGTTGCAAAAGATGAATCAGACCAGCACGCGCTGCAGAAACACGACGGTCCGGCCTGTTGCATCCTCATCTTCGCCGTCTCTCATTTAGTAGCCTCCACATGCTGACTGAGAGCAGCCCATTTTTTAGAGGTCGTGTAGCGGAAAAGGAGTAGAACTCTATCCGGCAACTGTGCTGGCTAACACCAGCTTGAAACAAAATGAAGAAAAATCTATGCCGCTTTTCGGGCGATTGATTTAAAAGCACAAACGTCAAATATTTTTTACTTTTTTCAACTTTTTTCGTGAAATGGGCGTGGAGAAAATCATGTTTGCAAACAAAATGCGGTACATGTCCTTCTTCTCATCTTGCTGTATCGATATTAGCGAGTTGATGGGTCGAAAGAGAGTATCAGTATATCCATGTCGGCGTCTGCATATAGATCCTAAAAACAACTTCTCATGCTTCTAGATCTAGAAGGATGCTTCGACCTTGAAGTCGAGTTCTGTTTCCTCATCGGATCGAAAGTTAGTTTCCACGACTGGCTAATACTGGCGCAAAACCTCCGTGCTGCTACTCCGTCAAAAAGGTAAAATGATGGTGAGTAGATGACATGCTGATACTTATACCGGTCTTGTTTTTGATTTTGATATAAAATAAAATAAGTCTGCCGAAAGGAAAGCAGTTTTACATTTAGAAAGAAGCGACGACGTCCTCATCGATCTCTTCTACGTACCGCAAGAAGACAGAGACACGATATATTTTCCTGCATGAAATAAAACAAAGAAAATTATTCATCGCGTAATTTCGTCTTGCCGCGAAATTGTAGAGGAAGACTGGGAGGAAGGCGCCGGCCACTAAATATTAAGGACCAAGCCATATACTGCAACGAAAAGAAACAACTTCTGCGAAAATTACACCGAGGTTCCTCGACGTCGTCTCCCTCAGTTTTGATGTTCATCAAAAAATAGAAGTAGCTACACTAGTACTTGACCAACGGAACGCCCACCTCCTCGCGATCCTGCACCCGCCGAGCGATCTCGCGCAGCTCGTCGGGGACCGGCTGGCCGGCCTTTTCCAGCACCTGGATCAGATGAGCAGCATAGGCGGTTTGCAGGAAAAAAACTGCTTCACCCTGCTGAATTTTCGTGCTATTGCTTTCGAGGGAATTATACAAACATGACCAGTCGTGGTCGTGGCACTAGGACACTACTTTCGAAAAAGAACAGATGCAACACAGAGCCAGCGACAGGCACAATACAATTTGGATTTGCACAACACCTGCTGCATGAAGCCTGCTTCCCCGTGCACGGGGGCAGGAAAGACGCGCCACAGAATTGGGTCGTTTTATGCTGGAAGCCCACAGAGCATCATCTTTATCAAAATTTAAAACTTCTCTTCACTATGAAGCAGTTTTTTTCCTTTGCATAGTCCGGGTAGTTGGGCCAGTGCTATCAAGTGTAAAAGTGTCTGGGTCTGGAAGATTGCCAGGTTTGTCATGCACATTTTGCATGACTCCTGATGTCTGTGATGCGTGCCCTAGCGCCACAGATTTTGTGAGGGCTTCCTGATGCCTATACCGCATGACAAATGCTCTGTCCGTGTAGCAAAACTTGGACTCTCTTTGCTGCTCATGCAATACAGATTTTTTTACAATCCAAAATCAGCATGACAAGTTGGATTCTTCCAGACCCAGACATTTTTACAGTTGATAAGTACTCAAAGATCGCGATTGACGACGCCTTGGTTACCACCTCCCTGGTATAAAATTGCAAAAGTATCGCATAATTACAGCTATGCATGACAAATTGCCTTCCTTTTCCTACGGCTCTGCCTCTGCTATAACAGCATGACAAATTCCATGATCTGTCCACACTCTTTAGCTAATTTGTATATGCAATTCAAACTAGTAACGATGTTTTTGCGCAGGATAACTGCCCCGTGCGGTTCGCCCGACACGATGCACGTAGTCTTCGAGCGAAGAAAAGTCGTAAATGAAGACGTGGGAAATGTCCGGAATGTCGAGACCGCGCCCAATCACGTCGGTTGCCACCAAAAGCCGGATCCAGCCACGCCTGTAACATCAATTCAGTGGATTTATTCTTTTTTCCGGAACTACATGACAAACTGGTGCACGGATAATCTAGATTATTGGAGGAGGACAAAGCTGTTGTGAAAGCACTCCTCTTTGCTGCCTTCGGAACATTCGGTACAACTTAAGTATCAACATTCTTACCGAAAAGATTCGATCGTGCCGGTGCGTTTATCCTGTCGCTTCCCACCGTGCAACGGTATGCTCTAAAAATCACGAGTTGATGAATTTGCATAAAAATCCCATTCCCAACAAGAATAACCAAACTTTGCCTTTCAAATTTTTTGAGTCATGATGATGCCTTTAAACTAGAAGAAAGATCTCCGCTCCAAGTCCAACGTCATCTTGCCATCACTACGTACTGAGTGGGAACAATATGCAAGTCGTTCTGCGAGCTTGCTAGTCACGACACACTATCACGACTTACATGACTTTGGTTTATGGACATAGACTTCGACATGCCGTAAAAAACGCAGATAAAAAGAGGACAAGCGTGAGGCAATTACATCATCTCATCAATTATCCGAAATCAACATTTTTCTGTTTCGTAAATGCAGCTGCCTCGTTGAAGCCCACGTTCCAGAGGTCACTGCACAAGTTGTCCGCCGTCACTTCTTATGCATTGCAAAAGCATCTTCGCACTGCAGTTCTGCATGACAAAAGTATCTTCGCACTGCAGGTCTGCATGACAAAAGTATCTTCGCACTGCAGTTCGTATAAATTGCAGTCCTGCATGACAAACTCCAGTTTTTCTTCTTGAGAAAGTTATTTGTCATGCGCTTTATACTAGAACTGGTACGGTACTTTTGCGGAATGCATATTTTTTCCGCGACGAAAATGAGGACCTTTACGCCCTCGGGAAAGGACCGATTGGCGTTTTTCTCGTAGGCGGTTGTACTAGAATTGGAGTCAGTGGTTGCGATTGGGATGTTGTATAAGGCTTGTTCCTGCTCCTCTTCATTCTTTCTCCCCTGCTGGTCCTCTGTCGTCAACGTCGTGTAGAAGTTACTTGCACCTCCTTCATCGCACCGGCCATCGTTTTCCAGGAGGGCACCGCTGTTCGTGGAATTGGACACCTTCAGGTCCCGACAAGAAATATGCAATGGAACAATTTTTGATGCGTGCTACCACGCGTTAGAAGAAGTCCTCCTCGCACTTTCTTACTTTAGACTTTCCTAATTAGAAATCCACATTGAAGAACAAGATGAGCTCGGAAAGTAAGTTGTAGATCAACTTCCACTATACGTTCTAAGTAAAGTGCCAGTAGTACTGGCGTGTCAGTTCTCTATACAGAAAGATCTTGACAAGTTTTCTGAAGATCATGCACCGCTGCAGATGGTAGTACTTACTCCCGCTTTCATTGATGCAGCTTCACGAAACTTTACCTTGTACTAGTGCTTGTGCTGAGGACTTGGCATGATCACCAACACAATTTTATTTTTCCTTCGGGATAATCCAGCAGTTCGGACAGAAAATCGTAAAGTAGCTTTTTCTTCAGTGTCTGCGCTGCAGCATAATCCAGTGACGGGTCCACCACGATCACCTTCTGGTCAATCTCCGGTCGGACGGTGAGAGTGCAAGAACCGGAAAAAGAAGTATCGTGTCCCTCATGTCCCTCAAGGGCAGACGAGCCGGCTCCTGTCGTGTTGGAGGCAGCATTGATCCTCGTTGAACCGTTATACAAGAAAAAAACTGTGTAAGCGTAAATCTCTGATGCGGAAAAAGCAAAACAGTTACACTTCTTGCGCTTGTCATGCTCGACATGCATGAGCATGATCGGCTCGTTTCCTATGTGTATGTTTTTTCCCTTCCTAACTGCGCATAACAAGTTTTTCCTATCATTGCAGACAAACTTGTGATGCTGTTTTCCCAAAAGATTTACACTAACGCAGTTTTTTTCTTGGATAACCGTGAAGGTCCTGTTCGACCTCCAAAATCAGCTTCCGCTCGTTTTCCGCGAGTTCAAAGGCGACTTTTTGCACGGTCGCGTCCCACGTAGCCGTGAAAAAGTAGGTGATGCGCTTCCGTGGCGGTAGAGGACCTTCTGCTCGTCCGGGTTGCATTTTCATCGCCCGCGCGAGCTCTTCGACGACACCTCCAAACCCCTCGTCGAGCATGCGGTCCGCTTCGTCCATATCAAACAAAAAAGCGCTAACGTAAACGGTCCGTTTACGTTTAGATTTTATTTTTAGAGATTGCAGCTATGCATGACAAATTTTGCCTAGAATGCATGCTATGCAACACCAATTCCGATTCCGGGGCCATTTCTGATGCATTACTGCATCACAAATTTTTCCGGTAACCTTAGCACTTTTTCCTGTGATAGTCCAGGACCAAAATGCCGAAGTTCCGGCTCAGGTCGAGTTTTCCATCCTCGACGAAGTCCCTCAATCTGCCCGGCGTTCCGACCACGAGACGCGCAGCACAAAGGTACGGCTCCTGGTATTTGCGCCCCTGGCCGCCGTAGCAGCATACCGAGCAGATTTTTCGGCAAAAGGTCAACTTCTCAAACTCCTTGTGGATCTGGTCTGCGAGCTCCCGGACGGGAGCGAGAACTAGTGCGCGCAGCTCCAGGCCCTGCGCCTCTGCGGCCTCGAGTTGAATGATGGTGGCTACGAGGAACGCGAGGGTTTTGCCGCTGCCCGTGCGCGCGACACCGATAATGTCGATCGGGGCGTTGAAGGTCAAGGCGTCATTTGTTACCGTAGAAGAAGCCCCCATAATTCTTGTCGCGCCCTCGTCTGTAGTTCCAGGAGCTGCACGAAGTATGGAAATATCAGAACAACACGTTGAACTAGGCGTTTTCGCAAAGAGGTGTTGGACCGCCGGGGCCAGGAAGTATTTCTGGATCTTCATCGGTCGCGTCCACTTGTACCAGTCGAGATTGTCGAGGACGTAGCCTTATGCATTGCAAAAGTATAAGTGTCGTAGTCGTACTCGTGAATCTGAATTGCACTAGAAATTGCCTTAGCATGACAGATTAAATCTGTATAGGCGGATTTTCCTTAAGAAAGAGATTTGCAATGCACGCACGCAATTAGTACGAGTACGATACCACTTTTCCAGTGGATAAGCCTGGAATCAAATTTTCCGTCAAGTCGTCCCGGAAACTGTCAAAAACAAACACGCTGTTGACGCCGTTTTCCGCAGCTGGAGGACCAGAGTCATTTCTGTCCTTCCCAGATGAGGATGACACGTGCTCCAAAACGATGGGCGCAGCTGCAGCAGAGACCGTCGACGAATCAGTTTCGATTTTTGTCGACAGGAGAAACTGGATCTGGATCCGGTCTGTTTCCAGCTCCTCCAGGGTGGCGAGTTTTCCAAACGAAGTCACCTCCTGCGGGTTGAAGCGGAAACCAGATTTTTTGTACTCCGTCCAACTTCCGGCTTCGTCTTTCACCCACGTGTTGCCTTCTTTGTCGACGACTGTGCTGCTGGTGACCGGGTTTTTGGTGAAAGACGCTGCGTTTTGTTGATTCCACGAACGAGTCGTGTAGTAGGTTGCGTTGTCTTCACCGGTCGTGGAATAGTTCTTGCTGTCCTCGTCTTCTCTGATGTTTCTGTAGTAGTTGTTTTTCCTGTCGTACGGGACGTCATTGCCGCGACCTCCACCAAAACTCCGGTAGTTCGAGGTTGTAGAAGCATGATCGTAGCTGTTGTATTTCGCTCGCCAATCTTCCGGGGCCTTCGCGGCCGTCGAAGCAGCGTCGTCGTAGTTTTCAGCCTTGTAATAGCGTGTGCTGTAGTTTCGATTTTGTTTCTGCCAGATCGTAGTAGACGATGAGTAGGACGAAAAGTCGCTTTTGTGGAGGTCGTGCGAAGGTGCTTTTCCGTCCCACTCACCGTCGCCTCGCCAATTGCCGGCACTTCCACCTTCGGGGTTGCCTCTGTCGTCGCGGTAGTTGGAATGCTGCGTGTTTCTATAGTTGTACCAGTCTCCGCTCTGTCGTCCAGTGGAGTCGCTGTAATTTTTGTCCCAAGAGGAGGCCCAACTTGACGACCCCGAGTTGGCAGCCCGCTGGTCGTGGGAAGTCGACGTGGGAAGTCGTTTATCGTTATAATTATTTTCCCTCTTCCCCCAGGGATCGTTGTTCTTGTAGTCCTGCTGCGTATCTAGCACGTGCTCACTAATAGGACCGGCCACGGTGGCTGCCGGTTCGTGCCCATGTGTCGAACTGGGCAGGGACGTACCATTAGTTGTATCGCCGTACGCTTCTGTCATCCTGTTGTTCTTGCTTGAAGTACTTATATTCTTTTCTGTTCTTTTTACTGTCGTGTGCAGGTGCTGCGGTATTATGTATGATGATCTGTTTCCCTAAAAGATGCGTACGCCACTAACTTTCACATCTAGTATATCTTTGAAAACCGGCGACCACACGACCGCAAGCCAATGGCTTATATTAAAATTCAGTCTATAGCTGTAAAGAGTTGCTGAAGATATTACCGCTTTGCTATTCGTAATCAGCCGATTTTTTTTCTCTTAGTACTAGTAGAAGTCTACTTCGCTGCTCTATTCCATGCAGCTTTACTTGCTCGTTGAACTGGTGCACCACACACCCGCATGTTGTTCATATTCTGCCTTCAGGCCATCCTTATTCCTTTCAACTTCAAGATACAGTTTCTAAAACACTGGTCATGATTCGTTGCCCATGAACATGATTGGGTAGGTCGTCTACGTTGCTGGCAACAATACTTCACACGTACGCAGATGACCGACGAGGAGCAGTAGAAGATCATCTGCACTTCGACGCGCCAGGCATCCTAGCCGCACTACAACTTCCTCTTTTGTTAGTATGCTCCTCCGAAAACAACTTGCGCTTCTCGCTTCAGGACCAAGTTTGCGACTATTTTTTTTTGGTTATGGTGTCCACGCACCAACAAACACTGATGTAGTAGAACTATGCATCACAGACACAGGACACTTCATCAAGTTGACTATAACTTCAGGACGAACATCCACTTCACGGGGTAGTCGAGAAGTATTATAAAAGTCAAATCTACTACAACATCTTCTTCGGTTGATGTACCGGAATTGGTGAGCTATGAGCTGCAGATTTTCTCTTCTTCGCCGTTTTCGCTTGATACATCCATGTTTCTTTCACAACAGCATCTCCTTGGGAGACATCTAGTAAAAGCAGGTCACTCACAAAGGGATACAAAAGCAAATACGTGATGAAAAAATCAGTACTGCATGGCGGAAGCCCGCCCATTCTACGGGACTGCCAATGACAGATTTCTTCTTGTTTCGGATACATATTCATTGTTACATCCAGAAGTGTGCGCTGCTAGCTTTTTTCTCTGGGATACCATTGCACTTCTCCAGTGGTCGGTGAAGAGCATGCTATCACCCGACGTATCCACACTTGCCTTTGGATTCTCAGTAGCATGATCAACACAATACTCATGCTAATCTAATCCATGTAATAACTCAAGAAAAATACCAACTGGCTGCAGCAGCTTTGGCTACCTTAAATCTGAAAAAAAAGAAAAACGCAAGCAAAATAAATCTTGAGAGACGGGCTATCTTCTGAGTAAAGTCACAAAGATAAAAATCTTATTTAGCTGCCTTTAAAAATTTGTTGGGAAGCGTCGCTTAGTAAAGGTTGTGAAAAAAGAAGTAAAAAGTTACTGCTCTGGACAAAATTCGAGAGCGTTGCTGAAAGCTTAAACGCGAATTTCGCTGTGCATAAAAATTGCGCTGTGGAGAAGAGAAGCTGTTTTTTGTTTCTGTGTTTTTTGCTTTTGACGTTTTGCTGCTATCCACTTTGCGAGCTGCAGATCTTCTTGGATGATCTGTCTTACGCCGATAAAAAGACGTGTTTTTTGTTTGAGTTTTAAACTTTCTCTTTCTCGCTTTTGAGTACTAAAAGAAGTCTGGACTTGCTGACGTTGAGCGCTACTTCTCGCGACCTGCGAGCGCCTGTATGAAACAAGCTTTTTCGGCACTATATCAGCATTGAATAAACAAGAAAAACTAAACAAGGATTCGACGCAATCCCTTTATTTGTCCTAGCACGCGACATTCGATCGCACAGGTGTCGAATCACAACCCCAATCCTTGCACAGGCGCTCGGCATCAAAACGGTACTTGCTGGTTTCCTTTTTCTGCCCGTTGCAACAGCAGTACCAGTAACCTGTGTTCGTGGTAGTTAATTATGATTTCCATTTGTGTGCTTACAGTCTCTGCACTACACGCAGTACTACCAAAAGTCGCGCACTATGCACGCACACACATACACAACCGACAAGCACATTTCTTTGGTAATGAAGTAACATTTCAAGAGGCGCCAGTTATTGCATAGGGTAATGCATCGTAAAAATTAAAATAGCGCACTGGCAATGGAGAGACATGACGAAGAAAAAAAATGATCATCATTTTCATCATTTACCGTCGTGGTCGTTCTGCCGGGTCCAGCTTGTCGGCTGAGCTCGCGCCGTATTCGCTGGTTCTGCCGGTTCGTGTCCCCACGGTCTTCCTGGAAAAGAGCCGTCCTGGGCGACCCTTCGTCCGTTGCGCACTGTGCCGGCGTATGTCGGACGGTTCTGTTTTTGAAGATTGGCTTCTTTCGCGCGTCGGTATCCCAACGACCCCAAAGACAAGAGGCGCACAAGAAAAGCCAGGACGAATCTGAACACCACTAGGAATCAGAGCAGTATCCACTTTGTAACGCACTCCGGTGCTTCTCGTGTGTAGTGCAGGTTTTCCGTTCCTTCCTAAATAAGCTAGCACGAAAGTGCCCGCATCAGGGTGCTTAGAGGTAAGAGCCAATATATTTGCAACGCTAAGAAGCATACGCGCCGCAATAGTTTCCCGTGGAGAAGCTAGCGCATCTGTGGCAGTGGTTGACAAGCAAAGCAGAGGCGTTTCATGCTTTTGGCCGTTCGGCAACGTTTTGCCGTTTCGGAATTTGCCATGCGTATTTGGGCCATTTAGTGACGCTCTTCCCCCTTCCCTTTTCGTGATCACGCCCAACATTTGGCGGGCGGCAGAGTAGTGCGCGGCTATTCTACGAGCTGAGTCAATATCTTCAGGCCCATTCTGCGGCCATTTTCTCATCGCTACTACTGATCTGCGGCATAGGTGAGGTTTTCGGAATTTATCCACTTTTTTGATTTGTCTTGCTAATCACGGCCGAGCTCTTTGATTTGGGTGGACCTCAACGAAGGTCCACCTCGAAAGCAAAACGAGCGAAAGTATTTGTCGCTCGCGCCGCCGTGGAGGGGGCACAAGCACAATGGCGCGGAATGTTCTACATAATTACACTAAGAGAGAGAGAGAGAGAGAGAGACAGCCGAAGTAGTAAACTAGTCCGGACTAGAGTAACGCACACCACACAGTTGAACGAAGACCCTGCTTCCGCTCCCCCGCTTGAGTGATGCCGTTTTTGCCCACCTCGCAACGCCCTTCTGTGGTCCGTCTGATCTACCCTCGGAATGCGCGGGCGGCGGCGTGGCCCTAGGTGTCTGCCAAGCTGATAGAAATCCACAGAGAGTTTGGTAGTCAGTTTCGTCAAGGTCGACCGGAGGGCGTAGGGATGGTTTACCTGTGGCCTTGTAGCCCGAGTCTGGTAAGAACCGTTCTACGCGCTGACGTCGTCCACGAGATGTCCGTGAAGAGTAAGGCGGCAAGTTAAGGGGGAATTGAGATGACGGGGAACTTAAAAAAAAAATAAAAGGCAGTCGAAAGCAAACTAGTTCCCCGGCTCGACGTGCGGCGACGCTGCCCTTCCACGCAGCGCCCCGGCGAGCAGTTGACGGCGTACTCACTCACCGGACAGGCCGTCTCCCGTTGTTCAGCGGGGCGGCTATTCTAGCACAAAAACAATAGAAGTAGTTTTTGCGACTTCTGTCTTTCTCTTTCTTCTTACTAAGCTACTACTACTACTATTTTTCTTTTTCTCACTAAGCTATCTGCGGACCTCGGCGGCGCATCAACCCGGTGAGTGAGTGAGGGCAGTTTGTGAAGGACGCATTTTGTGGTTTTTGTTTTTTCACCGACGTATTTTGGATCGAGGACCGACTTGCTTTTGTGTGTGTGTTTTCTGCGTCAACGTTCTTACGTTTGCTAGCGCTACCGGGGGGCTCTTCCTGTCCCCCCGGGTCCTAATGTGTTTTGATTTGGAAAGGGGTAGTATCCGTTCTCAAACAGACGCAGGATCAAACGACGCAGGTTTGAATGTGTAGGATTGTGAAGAAGAATTTAAAAAGAATTTAGAGCGGGGTAACAATTGATTCAACTAAGTCGCCCCGGCGCCTTAGTCGTCCGTCCGGCCGGACGGACGGCTAAGTCGCCGTTTGCGGCGAGAAGCTTTTCCCTTCAGGCTAGCTGCCCCCCCAGAACCAAAATCGATATCGCGAAGCGAGCACCGTCCAGAAACCGTATGCAAAGTCGCACTTTTTCAAATGGATTTTCATGGTTTTGGCATGTTTCTTTTTTTTGGATTTCCGAAAAAAAAACGCAAACTCAGCTCGTCGTATCATACATATTCGCCGGAAGGCGCATGGGAATGTCGCCGGAAGGCACATGGGCACGGCAAGGGGGCGCCCCGGATTTGGCGGCCGTATCTATCCCGGGAGTTGTTTGGCCGGGGCTACTTGGGCAAGCAACGCGCAACCCAAGCCGCTGGACCGATGTCCGCCGCCTTTGTTCGGCAATAACGAATGGGCGGCGCCAACACGCGCGCCGCCACAGCAAAAGCCTGGCGGGCCGCCGGCGGCTCGGGCTCCCTCGCAACAGCGGGGCATGAAGTTTGGCAAGCAAGCAAAAGCAGGGCACGCATGTGGGTGCTGGGCAATCACTTGCAGCGCTTCGCCGTGTGTGTTTGCTGGGCATGAAGCTGCACAACAAGCACAACGCGGGGAAACATAGAACAGGAGCTGCACAACATCGGCGCCCCAGCGAGCTTTTCTTTGCGTTTAAAATGCAGGCGGGCCGCTGAGTGGCCGGCTTCTAGCGTTGTCTTTTTTTCAGCAAGAGGCGCGCCAACATGCGGAGAAAAATCCGGGCCGTGAATCGTTGGCGCCTGAATCAATTTGGCCCGGTGAGAAACTGGCGCCCCGAATTTTTACCGCGCGGAACTCTGCTTCGTTTTTTTCACAAGGAGACCAAAAGCTCTAGCGGTCGACCTCGAGTGGTCGCCCTCAACTTTTGATCAACTTAGATCAGCCGTTCGCCCATTATAGGCGAAGTCTTTTATTTTTCTGACCTCTAGAGGTCGCTCCTCTCCTTTGCTATCGGTCTGGACCTGGAGCATACCGTCGGGGAAAAAAATATACAAAAAAAACAAAAACCCCCGACCTCTAGAGCTTTTCCTCAGGTTTTCGTCAAAATGGCACATACAATAAATCAGCCACAGCATCGCGCTTGGCCAATTTTCAAAAAGTCGCTGCTTTTCGGTTTGGTCTCGTTTTCGTCAGGTTTTGGTCAAGTTTTCGCCACAGTATTATCGCGATTAAGATTCCCATACCTTATTTGGTCTCTCCTTTTTGGTCAAGTTGCTACGAGTCTACAGCTCTCTAATACTATGAAGCTGCTCTGTTTACATCGACCTGGGGCGGTCGGTGGCGAGAAGCAAGACGACCTAAAACCAGCAAAGTGGAAGACTTACCACACTGCCGAATACCGGACTCGCTTTCTCTACATATGCCGTAGCTTGTCCGTCACTCCCGATCACGGCCTGCTGGTCCAGCCCGGGCTTGGCCTGTTCGTCAGTAAACTCGGTCTCGACGGGGGGGACTAACCCATAAACCGCTGTCGCAGCAAGGACCCCGGCAGAGCGCACCAGCTTCTTCAGGATTCCGAACGCCATTCTGGTGGGTGTTGTCTTTGTGGGTCTTTCTATTTCTTTCTACAAAAGACGAAGTAATGGAAGAGTACAAGGACGGAGCGGGCTGATGCAATCTAGTATGTAAAAGTCCTTGCCGCGGTACTTAGTTCGTGATTGCGTTGCTGGCCGCGTACTTTTGGTTTTGCGCCTCTAGAACATGCAAGCTGTACAATTATACCGTTTTAGTACTTCGCTCGCGCTTTCGCTCAGATGATGCGCAACAGGCCAGCGCTATGAGTTCGAGCATGGTTATTCCCTAAAGAGATACATCTTTCACTCAACTGCTTTGCCTTTGCTTGGTCCTATATGCAGTTGGCCCTCATCACGCAGAAACACGCTCGGGCGGCTCGTTGTGCTTCTTCTGTCTTTTCTACTATTCTGTTGTCAGCGCTACTCTATGCCAGCACGTCGCTTTTCCTTTTGTTCGTTTTCCTCGTATAAATTGGAATTGCTTCTTCAGCTTGCTTCAAGAAGCATTTTGTAAACGCTGGCCATAAGTACGCGTATTAATACGTTGGCGAAATCTAGTACGTGCCCCACGCTCAAGCAGATGACTGACAAGATTCTCATCCGCACTTACTTTCTTGCGCCGAGCATCGCCCTAGTCGTCCTGCTTTCTAGTTTGTACTATATGCTCCTTGTCTGAGAAGTTGTGCTTCTCGCTGCAGAAGAAAAATCCGACCATGTTTTATCCGGTTTTGGTTCCCCAGAGCGAAGTTGCTGAGTTAAATTTACAACTTTTTGACGAACACCACGCGGCCGCCTTCATCCGATTGCCAAGAAGTATTCAAGAGACCAGACGAGAAAGCTAAATCTACATCTTCAGGTTCACTTGATGCAGCAGACACTGGTCCATTTCCCGTTGGTCCGTCTTATTCGGGGTTCTCGAGGCGGTTAAAATCATGTAAGAGCCTCGCGTCTGTGCAACGCTATTGGTAAGCAAGCTTTGAGCTGCTACAGATTCTCTCATATTCCCGTTTCTGCTATACGTGTTTCATCTCCGCAGGAGCTCCTTTGGGGACATGTACACAGTCCAGATCTACTCCAGTCGGTGGACGGATGGTCGAGTCGAAGTTTCAATGCTGCCCAAGAGCCCCGTGGATCGAGTCCAACTTTGCCGCCAGCTGTTCGCGTTCGGTAGTATGGAGAGGAAAAATTCTTATCCTAAACACGTAGTAGCTCCTCAAGTTCGTCGTGCTTTCATGAAAAGCCGCGAAGGGAAAACAAATCCGCTTCTGCTTTTGTTTTCTGGTGCTGGTCCTTTGTGCTGCATGACAAGTTGTGATCTATCATCGCACTGCTAGGCGAAGGATAAGATTTGTCTTCTTTTCCGTAACTGCCCAGAGCCGCGCACTCGCTCTTGAGGACTTCCACGAATCGCATACGGTAACCTGGATTTATCTTTTGTGTTTCTCATTCCCTTTCCAGTGATTCTCCCTCCGCGGCTGATCCTTATCGGTTTTTTCGTCTGAATGTGAATCATAGAAAGTGAAAGATATAATAATGACCGATGCACCAGGTGGAAGTGGTTCTGCTTCTGCGTCAGATGCAAGCACGTTAATTCAACACTTTTATTCTCTTCCCCACATGTTGGTGTTGAAACGACATCATATTCAAAAGCGAAAAATACAGTCTCTGGACAGCGGCCAGTCCCACGCTCTGCGGTTCCGCCGGAAGATCGGCCGCTGGTTCGTGATCGCGGTAGCCTCCTCCAGGTTTTGCGGAATCTTTCCCTTCCCGGCTTCCCCGGCGGCATCAGCACCCAAGTAGTCCTTCTGTGTCGCAAGTAGCAGGTCGAGACATTCCTGGACGGGAAGAGGAAGTGGAAAGAAAACAACATCAAAGCCAATGAATAAAACTTTAATATCATTTTCCAGGGCGCGGGCGCCTCAGTGTACTACGTAAATTCGCCCCTGGTCGCATTTCAATAAGAACAATAGCCAGATGAACCTACTGCATGTAGACACGACTGTAGTTCGTTCCGCTGTGGACTCATCAAGTCCTCGAAAGCGACAACCACTAGCACTTCCGCTATCTTCAAATGTTTTCTTTTTTTTTTTTGATTCATCCTCTTTCATAGCGACCCCTTCCTCTGGATCTCTGCGTCCACGGCGTCCACCCACTGCTGCTGTCCGGACGATATGCACTGCAAAAGTCTTATCGCACAACTCGACGAAATTTTCAAATCAATCATAGTGGCAGTATTTGTATTGCATGAAAAATCTGGTTCTGGAGGTACTAATTCAGAATGACAAATTCTACTCGTGACCACGCTGAGCAAATTTGTCATCATGCAGTCACGCACTAGAAGAAGCAAGTAGGATACTTATACTTTTGCACAGGATAGAAGACCAAACGCGCGACCCAACCTTGACGCTCTTCACGAGTTGACCTGGTTTTGAGACGGAAACTGAGTGCTTTCGTTCTCATTTTCTGCACCAGTGGTGGAATAACATAGCAACAAACAAGTCGTGACCACACGGTATTAACAGTAAGAGCAGGCATGGCAGGTATTTGAAAAAACCAATACTAGATCTAGATAGCATCCCAAAAGCAAACTTAACAGCTCAACCTTCGCACGTAAACTCGATTTCGGTTCCGAAAATGAGACAGCGGTGGAGATCGTAGGTGACTCGTTCCGGAGGTATAACACGAAAAGGGACAACATGCTAAGTCTAAGACTAAGTCAAGTATACAATAGGCGCCCACTTAATACCGAAGTCGTTCTCATGCAGACGATATGCACAACAACCTGAAGGATATCAAAATGTATGTAAAACAACTTGACTCGCCATAGCTCGACGTTTAAATCATGCTGGATAAACGCGTGAAGATCCCGCACATTGCTGCCCACGCTCTGCAACGCGTCTTTCCAAATCGACAAACTCTTGTCCATCACCATGCTGATAGAGAATTTATTTCGATGCTTCCAATTGGTTTCTAATAAACGCATCAAAAACTTGCTAAAGTAGCAACATTTTATGTGAGAATGTACACTCAATTCACAGCTGCTAAATCAGCTGCACTGGGTGGAACGCAACAAGATATCCCACGTTAGTACTTAAGTTGTACCCGTGCGCAGGGGCGGCAGCACCAGTTCCCGCTGTTATCCACAAAAAAAGGCCCATCATCATCCCTTTTTTGCATGACAAACGCAGGACTTGACGCATGTTTTGCGTCACAAATTGGATGGGGATGGGTCTTTTTTTGTGGATAGCCGCTGTCGGCGTGCTGCTTGCCATGGTTGTATAGCCAGCTCAAGTAGTGCTGCAAGCTCGACTGTCTTCACATTGGCATGCAATTGCAAATGCAAAGTTGCATGAGCTAGACCACCTTCCGTATTTTAGTTTTAAAGCGCTCATGGCAAGAAGTTCATCTGTAACTACCTGCTCGAGACTACACTGTAATTGTGTGAACTACTGGTCGTGCACAGAAGTAGAAGATCGCAAAACTATCATGTGCGCCATGTTTTTCTTCATGCCAGCCAAATCGTTGTCCTTCTAGACTTCCCCGCACAGGTATAACAGCTTGAGATTGCAACACCTGACGAGCGAGGCATAGGTAGCCCGGCGCGGATCTCCCCGAGAAGAAGAGCTGCTGCCCGCCTTCTGTTGCGGCCCTGCGAATTCAATTGAGATCCAGATAATGGAACAAAACGAAATGTAGATGCTGCATTAGTTGTTATCCTTATCACGCTATTAAAGTGCTTCGCTTCTACGTTTACCTTTGTGCCGTGGTGGAGAGCAAAAGTTGATGTGCTGCGCAGCTTCGCAGACAGAGACGCTCTCTCGCTCTCCTGGTAAAAAAATTGCACCCACCAAAGATAAATGTATACTAGTAGTGTACTGCACCATGACCAAGACATTATCAACATCAAGTATAATGATCCAACTCATTTCTAATCTTTTAAATGAAAAATGATCTAGTACTACGCAAATTCACGCCTGTGCCTGGCACTGCCGCTGTTCCACCGGACTGCGAAGTGGAAGATGCAGTCGAGGCACCACCTGCACTCGGTAGTTGTCTTGCAGCGCCGGTATTACTACCCATAGTTCCACCAGCGGTCGCTGCTCCCGCGACACCACCGCTGACGGGACCGCCGCCTGCAGTACAACTCGCTGGGTTGTTCGCAGCGGAGGCCGCAGCAGAAGAACTTCCGGTAGTAGCCTGCGCAGTACTACTTGCTCCTGTTGTTCCAATATTACCTGAGTTGCCCCCCACTTCGCCGGGCACCATGCGCATCACATTTTGCTGCGGCCGGGTGTGCAGCATCTTGGAGGCTGCTGTTGGGTGTCCAGTTGTGCCTGCTTCACCCGCAGTGCGATGAGCCGCGCCACGATGCGGGTTAGTTATCACAAGAAAAAAGTGTTACAGTTACATACTGTGATGCAAGACCGGCAACAGAGACAACCTTTGTCATGCAGGAAATGCTTGGGAGCCTCGTTGCCTTCCTGTTTTCCCTTATGATCTTCGCATTACAAGTTTTCTCTACAACCACACAGAGAAAATTTGTGATGCAGAAACTCCAACAAGAACAAATGTGTAAGTAACTGTAACACTTTTTTCTCGTGATATTAGTCGGCACGTGCATACCACCGAAGCCGCCATGGAGGTATGCATTGCAAAAAGAAAAACTACACGACGACGACCGCATCAAACGTGGAAAATCATGAGCAAATTCGAAAGCAATGAAGATGGCCCGAGCTTCATCGCTGTCAACGTCATCAAAAGAATTCTCTGAAGCTCTGTCATCATGCCAAGGAGCAAGTCCGTCGTCGTGAAGATTTTTTGCAGCGGATAAGATCCCGAGACCGGCGAATATGACAGTGCACATAGATGAACGTACCCCTCGTTCTCATTTCTCATTCAAAGCACCAACTGCAACTCCAGTCGTCACTATATGTACATGACAAACTGCGAATGAAGAAGCTAAAACAATATTCCAGTCAGTACCTGAATTTGTGATGCAGAAGCCACATCTCATGCCATGCAAAAGAGGGGGAGCTAAAGCTATGTGCAGTCTGATAGCGAACTCCGCGAATTCGTTCTCGTCTTCATTGAACACCTCGTACACCTTCTTCTGTACCGAACCAAAAAAGCGTATCCTGTGAGACAACTGCGGCACCATCTTCCCGGTGGAATAAATGCAAATCAAAATAACACGTTCATCTGAGCATACTTTTGATTGAGCATGACAAGAAGCAACAGGGCGATGCAGGCGTAGTACTGCTTACACGAGGATACAGCCCTTGATCAGGTCCGTGGCTTCGGACATAACCTGCTTCCCGGCGCTGTTTAGATTTTTCGCAGACGCTGAAGGGTTCAGGCTGTGGGCGAAAGAGTTCGATGCACCGGTAGAGCTGGAAGACGAAGTTGAGCCAGGGGCTCTACTACTGCTCCCCTGTCGAGACATCGAGGACGCTCCTCCAGACATTGAGGTGGCTGAGGGAGCTCCAACATTCATCGTTTTCCCAGACGAGCTAAATGCGGTACCACCACCGCCGGACATGCTGATCTTGTTGCTGCCGGTCGACATGATCTTGGCCGCCCCCGTAGTTGATGAAAAAACTGACGCAGCAGCAGTGTCGTGCCCGAACGCCCCTCCACTACTTGTTTTTATCGTATAGAAAAATATGAACTGCATTTTCACTGGAACGATTTTTCTGCAAGTTTATTCTATCTCTTCAACAAAGGTTAAGGCGTGATTTACAAACATGGTTTGGAAAATTTGCCATGCGTGCTCGTCCCAACGTACAACATGGCTGAGAAGAATCCACCGCTTTGCATCATGTGTGGCAAGAAAAGCATTTCTACTCCTTTCTGCGACCTCTGCATCACAAGTTCACAGTGTTGAACAAGCAGCTTCATCATTTTCTTCCGATACAACTTGTCGTGCCGTTGATGAAATTTTCGACGGGGTTATCAATCCAAAAAGTGGCAACGGCTTTCAACAGATGGCAGTCATGATGCATGACAAATTTGACCTGCAACGCATGCTATGCAATACAAATGTCAGCGTCAGCGCGTTTGCGTTTCTGTGAGTCTAAGTGTGCATTACAGTACTGCATGACAAATACCTTATAAAAAGCGTTTTCACATTTTCCTGTGATACGGTTGCAGGAAGGATCCTCCCGACACTGTTGCCGGGGCCCGAATGCGGTCCGGCAGTTCTGCAGCGCCACCCACGCCGACTTTAGACGTGGTAGCGGCGGACCGCTGCTGCGTGGCGCGCTGCTGTTGGGTGGTAATCTGCTCAGCCTGCAAACTGTGACCAGTGATGAAACTTTGCATCTTATTCTTCTTTAGCAAATGATGAACCAATACAAATGCATTTTCTGCAGAAAATATCGCTCGCGGTCCTCGTCACAAATCGCTCAGGTCTGATGACAACTTGCTTTTTTGTAGATCTGAAAAAGATTTTCATCTTGTTTCCATGCTGGACCGATTCGGGTGCTCCTGCTGTGTTATCTTCCTGCAGGAGCAGGCGCAGGGACAGCACGAATTATGCTAATAGACTTCAAGCAGGACTACGGGAAGCAGAAACAAGCAGGCAAACACAACTACAGCAGAAAAGGATCTTTGTGAGACGTCACAGGTGCTGCCCGCCTTCCACAATTTTGAAATTTTGCTGATCTTTCAGGAGGACAAAGGCATGAATATGATGACCCGGCACTATGTATCTTTCGCCGGCCACCAGGATGAATCTGCACCAGCCTCACGGTAGAAATGGGGAGGTGCCGTCGTCCTAGGAGATGGAGAGAGAGGCACAGCAAGAATGCAGCACAAGCGCTGCAAGACTATTGCTGCAGGGCAATGCGACGACACGCACGCCCACAATGGAACGCTGTTGCTTTGGTTTTCACTTGAGCTCTGCTCTGCTTCTGTCGTGCTCGTTGTACTTGTCCTCGTGGTAAAAACTTCTTATTATGCCATCACTGTACTCTGATTGTGGTTTTGATAATGCTCCGTGTAGTCCTCTTTGATGTAAAGCCAACTTAATACAGCCCCCATATTACACCACAAAGCTGCGTTCAAAGTATTTAATTTCCGCAACAACTTTTTGTTTTTAGGGCGGCAGACACACTGTTACGACTCCATCAGAATGCGGTTGCGGTTACTGACTGACTCGCTGAAAATAATGAAAAGTGCGCTGCAAAGTTTGCGCATCATCACGTAGGCGCCGAGCGGGTAGAATGAACCTTAAAAAGTGGTATTGGCTTCGACGCCGTAAATAATCTTCCCCACCAAATTTAGTCCCTTATTCCAGAGGTTGCAGTAGTTGCAAATCTATAAAAATTCCGTTTGTCTGCGAATCATCTCAGTGTCTGAGTCTGAGAATCAATTCAATGCAAAAATAGATGACTGCGCAACATTCCTCACTGTAAGACGAGAGGTTGGGGCAGGGCGGAGGCCGTTCGTATCACCCCTTCTGTCACACTCTCTTCAAGCCAAGACGTTTTATTCATTCTAAGAAGAGAGTTTCAAATTGGCCAACCAGGAGCTGGAGCTCTACTTTCTCTACATTGGATCAACATCAATGTCGACCCTGCGACGGCCGCCAACATTATATCCTTTCTTCGGTAGATTCGAAAGACTAGGAGCTCGAGCTAGAATGTCAGCGCAGACCTATGTAAAAGCATCATTGGCCGCTGATGTGCTGTCCTGTTCATGATGTTGATGAATGTACATGTAGTTGTCCTACTACTAGACGCTGCTCTTCTAGTACAAAAACTTTTGTAAACAACTACGTAAGAGGTTTTCGTTGCTTTCGTCACTTCATACTTCAATAACCTGTTCCGACGGAGCGGTGGTGGTTGTGTCATGGGCGGTCGCCGCACTGGACCTGGAGTTTTGCGGGATTTCCTTGCTGTTGCTTCCAACGACGTGCATACCACTTTGAACGTCGAGGACATCGCGACCGTCGGCCCCCGAGTTCTTTCTCCACCCAACTTCCCCGCCTAGTGGTCGTTTTTTACCGCCATCATCTGTAGTGGAAGTGGTTTTATTCTTCCGCGCGACCTCGTCCAGCTCGGTTTTCATTTCCTTCCCCGGCGGGGGGTTCCTGGTTGCACACGCCGACCGGCACCAAGACCGCCAGCCACCGTGCGCGCTGCAACAGCTGTAGAGAACGGCGAGCACCCAGGCCAGGGGCGCGAAGAGCGTGCAGAGGGCGCACAGAGCGCGGCCGTGGCGGTGACTCAGGTTGGCGCAGGGCACCGGGCACACGTAGCTGTGGCACGGCAAGCCGCAGAAACACATCAGGCAGCCGACGAAAACAACGCGGTCCGGGTTCTCTTCGTTCGCATACAGCAGTCCGTAACACTGCGTGTTATGCCGCGTTTTCCGGGTTTTGCTAGGCCGGACGCTCGTCTTGCTGCTATCGCGGGACTGATTTCGTTCCTCGTGGGAAAAATGTTGATCCGCAGCTGTAAGACTTGGCCCTTTCATATTTTCAGATGTTGATGGTACTTCTAAAAATCGGGCTTCTGTTCTTGTTGGGCCACCTTGATGCGCGGCACCAGCTGCAGCATCTTGATCATCTTCGTGGGAACCAGAGGACCCAACAACTGACACGACGATGTGTTGCTGCTCCGGGGGTACAATCACGAGGCTGGTGCTGGGCTCCATGCCATTACCATCCTGGTCTGCGTGATGAAAGTGATTAAATGGCTCAAGAACGTCCTCTCCAGCGATCACGATGACGTCGTCCATATGCACTTTCTTTGCGCCTGTTCTGTCATCGCCGGAACTCTCCACCGCAAGCCTGGTCATCTCAGGTTCAGCTTCCACCTGCCCTAGTGCTGGATTCATTCGAGCAAGCGTCGCGGCTTGTTTAGACCCTGCAGATGACAATGTAGTTCCTTCTCCGGCCGCTCTTCTTGCGATTCCGCTGGGGGCGGGAGTTGTTTGATGCTTAGTGTCATTTGCATCAGCAACATGTTGTTCTTGACCCGCTGCATCAGCGCCAGCGCCATCTTCTGGGGGTGCATTTGATGTTTTCTCGCTTTTTTTAAGGCTGTTCTGGTTCTTGTCGTTCTGTCCGCGACTAGGATCGGTAGCACCACAGCTACCACTGCGGCTAGAAAAGACCGCGCGGTGCAGAAAGCTATTTTCCGTGACGCTTCGCAGGGACTTGGAAAACACGCGCCCCATGGCGCTATCTGCATGGGAGAAGAGGCCCGGCGCAGAAGATGCGGTCGCGGTCCCAGTAGAAGAAGGACCACCCCCTGCAAGAACTCCGTTATGTAGCTTCAAGGGGGAGGATCCGGTGCTCTCGATGTTTTTCACCTTCGAATAGTTCGCGGGGGAGAGATATCAAATGCAAAAATGTCATCTGGGTCTGGAAGATTGCCAGGTTTGTCATGCATATTTTGCATGACTGCTGATGTCTGTGATGCGTGCCCTAGCATCACAGATCTTGTGAGGGCTTCGACTTCCTGATGCCTAAACCGCATGAGAAACGCCCTCTCGCCGTGGCAAAAACTGGACCTCTTTTGCTGTTCATGCAATACAGATTTTTGTAGAATCCAGACGCAGCGTCACAAGTTGCATCCTTCCAGACCCAGACATATTTGCAATGCATAAGAGAATGTCCGTGCGCCCGTCGTCGCGGTCCACGGTATCCGACACAAAACTGTTGGTCAGCATGATGACGGGCGCGTTGAGGAGTCGCGAGTGCTTGACCAAATCTCCATACGAGTTGACGCCCTGCTTTTTCTGTGTCAAGTGTAAAAATGTCTGGGTCTGGAAGGCTCCAAACTTGTCATGCTGTCTTTGGATTCTAAAGAAATCTGTATTGCATGACCAGCAAGAGTAGCCCAGATTTTGCTACGTGCAGAGGCCATTTGTCATGCGGAAGAGGCATCAGGAAGCCTTTCAAAAATCTGCCATGCTAAGTCATACACTACAGGCATGATGGGTCATGCAAAATATGCATGACGAACCAGGAAATCTTCCAGACCCAGACATTTTTACATTTGATATTCTGCGGCGTCCCCTGAATCCGCCGGGCCCGCTCCAGGTTGATGCGTTGCAATGGCTTGTTGCCATCGTGTTGAGGCAGCAGACCGGCTGCTGCAATGTGTGCCCCTTGACCTGGAGAGGAAAACGATGGTGAAGTAGACGAACCGGGGGAAGATTGCAAATGTCGGTTCTTCTCCTGCGCCCCTGCTCTTGTGCTCGATGCTTGATGCTCCTCTTGCACGTTAGGTAACTGACTTGGAGCGCGACGTCCTTCCACGTTACTAGCTGTGCTCGCAGTGGAGGAACATGACCCGCCTGGTCCTGTGGAACGAAAATTAGGCTGCTGAAATACCGCCGGAGCGGTGGCTGTACTACCAGTCACCTTCTCGCCGCTAGACGGCCATTTTCCGGAACCTAAATTTTTTCGTGCGATTGTCGTGTTGATAAAAGTCACGGCCCACCTCGGGCTCCGCCCGCTTGTGGTGCAAATTATGTGGTGGTGCTGCTGGTGAAGCAATTGCATCATCTGGGGGTACTCGTACTGCGGCGCACTGTTAATTGCAGTTCGCATGCCGTGAAGTATATTTTTGTCTAGACGAAAAACGGTTATTTCCCGTAAATACCTGCGTTGTTCCGCGCCCCGCTGTTCAGTTGCTGGTCATCCACTCCTGCGGCATGATTTCCACTAGAGGCCGCCGCCTGTCGAATCGCTCCTCGGACGCTTTTGCGAAAAATATCCAGTGCAATAACTACCACCCAGAAGTAGCTCTCCACCACCAAATCAAGTCAATCTACACGAGAACATCACCGTCACCGATCATTTTTCATGTTTTCCATTTACATTTCTTACCTAGACAGCCACACTGCAGCTGCAAAGAGGAGCGGAATTCATTTGTTAGCTGTCCTACATTGCACTTGCAGTGAAAATTATGGCCATGCTCACGCTGCAGTTCGTCTTTCATGCGTGTCTCTTGTTCTCGTGAGACTGAGAAGCGACAGAAATGAACATGGAAACTTTCTTGTTGCCGCACTTTCTTCAAGTTGAGAGAACTACATCAGGTGCTTCTGGTTGTCACACAGCATAAAGCGCCAGGCCAATCGAGAATTCCGCGTCGGTATGAATTTTGAAAAGTCTACATCCTCGTGGAAGCCACGACAATCCTCATCGGCCGAAATTTGAATTTGTAATGCATAAGCATATACTTGCAACGAGATCTTCTTTCAGTGCATAAAAATTGATCTTTTTTGCTTATGATGATCCACGACAAGACAACAACATCATCATCAAACTATTGAGGATTGTCTTAGTTCGACAAGGTGGCTCATGACATTTTACACGAGATACTCGGTGGCTGGCGGTCGGGCACTGAACGGTACCCCAGGCTCGCCCTCCGCTTCGCCGAGAAGTGGGTATCCTTTTGAAATAAAACGTACCTCCCACCAGCGCAGCCCGAAGGTCAGGACAAGGATGGTTTTAGCAGTTTTGGTTTTGCTGCACAAGAAATCAAACCATTTTCATGAGCATTTGCGCATGACAACTTTGGATCTACAATGAACTCGTGACTGTACAAGGAGGAACTAAGCTAGTTGTACAGCCGCAACATGATCACAACAGACTCACAAAATTATGCTTCTCATGCCCGGGGGACAGGGACTGTCCGTGAAATAACACAAGGATTGCTTCGAGTTCTAGCTTAGCATGGCAGGCGACCGGTCAGGCATAACATATTTCTATTTGCGGTTCAAAAAACATCACGTGGGTACGTTTTCGCTTCGGATAACGTTCTTGCCTTGTTCGCCTGGTCTTTTGGCATGGAGTGCGGGGTCCGCCGGTCGATACCGCGTTGCACACGAAACGCGCTTAGCTTCAATATGGAACTGTCAGGATTGAAATTGACAAAGTTGAAAAATAAAAATTTGTGATGTATAAAACCGATACCAGTTGGAAGACCAATTTTAGAGCGGCGCATGACAAATTTCGACGTCATCGAAATCCAGTTTGTCATGCTCTTTAGCGAAAGAAGGCATCCTTTGCCATGCTTCTTTAGCAGCTCTATCGCAAACACGAAACAGGCATACAATCGGCCTCGCTTGCAATCCCTGCAAGACATTCACTGCGTGCCTTGCATTTTATGCATCACAGATTGATTATTTCAACTTTGTCGATTTCAATCCTGACACAACCATATTCAAAAATTCCTGGTTACTCGCCCGCGCACCGTGGCTGGTGTAGCCGGTCTTGCCCACACGGTGTATTCTGAAAAAAACGAAAAACTGCTGCATTAGCAATTACAAACGGCGCGCCCGTTACCGCCGAGACCCGAGAACGAGACCCGGGCGAAGCCAAAATGAGGCCAAGCCTACCGCTTCTTGGTATTCGCGCGCCGACAACGTCGCGGCCGGGAGCTGTGTAGTTTGTTCTACTTCATGCCGCCGGCCGCGCGTGGTCTCTGCAGCTGCCTCAGAAACACTAGCGCGCCCCCTATTGGGGCATGGGCCGCGGGCATATAGATTCGCAGGCCGCGCGCCACGTGGCTCAAATTTTGAGCCGCATCGGACTGCGACCAGACAGACAACGCCCGCCCTAGTCAATGACCACGCCAGAGCTCGTCTACGTACCGGATGCCCGCCAAAGCGGCGCCGCTATCTGTCCAAAATGGGGCCTCGCGCCTGCTGGCGCAAATTCGCCCCGTGCCTCTGTTGCTTGCAGATAGAGGACAAGGCAGGACGACCAGAAAACGCGCAGGCCAAAACGAAGCCGGGACGAGGCCAAAACGAAGCCAAAACGAAGCCAAAGCCAACCAAAAAAAAGGCGGCCAACCCTTTCAACTTTTTGCCAGAAAGAAAAGGCCCAGAATCAGACCGCGGGGCCTCGTTTTGGCCTCGTTTGGGCCTCGTTTTGGCGTCGCTTTCACGAGGGCACGGTCAACGGGATCGGGCCCCAATGGGCCCGGAAATAAAAAAATCATGAATCCCAAAAGAAAAACGAAAAAAAAAATTTTTGCACTGCCGCCCTATTGTGCCAAACCACTCCGCCGGGGCTCGCTCGATAGGAAATCTGTAGGCCCTAAAATAACGCCGGGGCTTTGTCAACAGGCTGCGGACCTGTGGGCTCCGGGGTTTTCGAAGAACTGCGCCACATGAAATCGAGCACGCAACTTTTGTTCGGGCAAACACAACTTCACCGAAAAAAAAGAAAAACACCGAATAAATTTGCGCCAAAAAATTGCTTTCTTTGCGACATGAGTGCGACACGGGTGCGACACCGGTGCGACACGGGTGCGACATTTTTCGGGTTCTTCCTGAAATCCCTAAGAAAAAAAAAACCACGGCCGAAAGCCGATTTTTTTTAATTATTTCAGATTTTTTGTCGCAAAAAAGGCGAATTTTTGTCGCAGAATTAATTGGCCACTCGCCCACCCAAAACTTTCCCACCCAGCATCCCTCTCCCATCCCGAAGCACACACCGGCAACATGGGCACCCTCTGCCGGCCCCACTCCAATCCCTTGCGCCCAAGCCTGCTTTTCCCGCCCAACCCACAAACCCAAGACACACAACCAGAAAAAGAAAACGCACCAGCGAGCGGCTGCAAGAACTGCAAAAATCCTGCGAAAACTTAAAAGCGCGAAAATTTTCCGGCTTTTGTGATTTTTTTGCTTTTCTGACTACTGGGGGCCGATCCCGTTGAGCACGGCAAAGCGAGCCGGGCGGCGACCAAAGTGCCGAATTTTCCGCGTTCCCCTTCCAGACGCGAAACGCGCTTGCCTGGCCTCGTTTTGGCTTCGTTTTGGCCTCGTTTTGGCTTCGTTTCGGCCTCGGCTTTTTTGCCCTTTGGCTTCGTTTTGGCCTCGTTTTGGCTTCGTTTTGGCCTCGGTTTTTTTGCCCTTTGGCTTCGTTTTGGCCTCGTTTTGGCTTCGGTTTTCCGGCAATGCCGACCAGGGGTGGTCGCGTGTACATATCTACTGGACAAGAGTGCGCCCATACCCATTTGAATATAATAGCAGGCACCGCGCGGGGGATTGGGGCTTCGCACCATAGTAGCCACAGGCAAGACGAAGGCGGCGCCCCCTGGGCATCCATGTGGGAAGCGCAACGCCCTGCGACGGCCAGGGCTTTTTGCGTTTCTTTGTAGTGCCATGCGGCTCAAAAATTGAGCCCGGCGGCACGCTGCGTCGCAGGCTCCCCCCTATGCGAAACGCGACGCGCCCGGGCCCACAGCGCGCACATCACAAATGACGCCCCGGCTTACATGCAGCAGAAGCCCCAAAGGCTGGGGGCCCTGTAAACGTCTCGGCCGATCACTATGGGGAAACTTGCCGACGTTTTGCGCTGGCAGAGGTGGGCCACTGTAAAAGCTGCCCGACTGGCTTCGTTTTGGCTTCGTCCTGGTCTCGTTATCGTGCGAGGGCGGTAACGTGGGTCGCCGTTTGTAAAGCAATGGAGGTGTAAAGCTAGTCTTATTTGACTTTGTTCCTGACGAGCAGCACGACGCGACATTTTTACATATTTTCACCATTTTACCTAACATGACAGCACCAGCCATCACTAAATTGATGTTGGCCAGAAGGATCAAACAAAATAATCTAACCCATGATCATTTACATGTCCAGCAGCAGCATGACCACAATTGCGACTAGCACAGTCGCCATCACAAATTGACACGAATAGGACAGCCAATTTTTCTCGAATACGGCAGTATCAAAAGCAAATGTTTCTGGAGGGTCTGCAAAGATGCAGCAACTTTGAAATTGTGTTGCTCTGCTTGATGCACATGCAATACAGATTTTGTTTTTGATGCTCGTCTCATACATATTTCGCATCTCCACAGATCCAGAAATACTTGCGATGGATAGGTAGTTACCACTCCCCATTGAGGAGCCGGAGGTGGAGCCGAGACTGTACCTTGGTAAGTTGAAGTTCCGTCAGCGTACCGTTCGCTTTGTGCATAGTGCATGACAAACACCAGTGTATGACCACAATTACCCTCGCTGCGTCGTGAAGAGTGCATGACAAACAGTAACAGATTTCATCAGATAAATCTATTTCCTTCAGTACTAATTTCAGTTTCACACCACGACCGGCAAAAATACCGTTTTCGATAAAAGTACCTTCTCGCGAAAACATCGTGCGGCGCGCCACGCTGCGCCGGATTGTAGAGTGACGAACCGCTACTCGCGCCTCCAGAAGGGGCTTTGTATAGGATCAAAAAGAATTTTTACTCAGGCAAGTCCCTCTCTCTTGCCCCGATGTCGATCTCGATGCCTAGAAATAATATGAGAAGTATCTATAGATTACACTCGTAACACTTCTAGGACTGTTAGTGGTCACGCCCGCATGACAAATGCACTTAGCGAAGCAAGACAGGTTTTTTGCGCATGACCTTGAGGACTCATCCAATGAAGTAAATATTTGCTCCGAGGATACTGTTCGGTGATGTGTCACAGCTCGATCTCGTGATTCCTCACCATCGTCCGCGGTTATTCCAGTCGAAGACCCCATCGATGCCTGGGGATCGCTCGCGCTTTTTTCGCGAATTCTATCCTTTGTTCGCTGTCTAGCTTCGCTATCGACGTGTTCTGCGTCACCTGAATGTGGCACCTATGCATTGTGGCAAAACAATGTCCATCGCACTCGCACTAGAAGTTCCAATGACGACGCAAGATAGATCTTGCTTTCTTATCTGATTCTGCAGCTACAAATTTCATTACTGGGATCTGCAAAAAAATGTCATGCCCTAGTGCCATGCTTTTGCTTTATTTGGTTTCGCCATGCGTAGCACTATCATGCTGCTTCCATCTTCTCGGAAGTTCTTGCGACCTTTACCGCTGGACGTGCTTGAGGTGGAGGTTGCCGGCGTTTTATTGTCTTCAGACCCGTGTTATCAAATGTAAAAATGTCAGGGTCTGAGAACTTGTAATGCTGGGTAGCGTCTCATGATGAGGCTACAAGTGCTGGCCCAGCATGACAAGTTTCTGAGCTCCTAGGTGGTGCCTATTCTGCATGACAAACTGCGCTTCTGCATCACAGAAAAGCGCAGCTCTTGGGTAACGTGCATGACAGATTTAAGAGTCATGCCAGACAAGCATGACAAACATGAATTCTTCCAGACCCAGACACTTTTACAGTTGATACGTGTTGATGTTCACCCGTTGCTGTGCCCAAGCACGTCTTCTCGCTTATCTTTCTGGATTTTCTGCTCGTGCTAGTAGAGATGCCGCCCCTTGTAGCACAATTTTCTTGGCGGCTATGAGAGTGCACAACGAACCCATGATCCCTACCCCGCCCCCCTTCATTTCTTGTCATGCAAAAGCAAAGCGCATTTCCATTTTCTCCACATACGTAGTTACATGCTGCTTTAGCTGTCCGGCAACTCTTTTGCATGACAAGTTGCACGATACTCCAAACAGCACTAGATTCTGTGCGTGCATTTGTCATGCAGAAGTCCCATTTGTGGCGCTAGTTGTGCTCCTGCGGCCCATGCCCATCAGATGAGGGAGAAGCACGGCGAAAGGTCGTCCTTCCGCACTCTCATAGCGAGCTTGCCCATTCTCTTCCTCGTTCCCTCCCTCGTTCCGCACTCGCCGGAGCGCGGCCGCGGCAATCAGCCTTTCTTGCTCCTTCATGTTTTCTATGAAACAGAAAAATGCTAGTGCTAAAAACGCCGGAATAAAAAGAGCGCTTAGGAGATGAATAAGAGAGCGGCAGAAGAACGCGCAAGACAGTGATAAATGTTCGCACCACAGGCATATCTCAGTTGTAGCTTGAAACAACACACTCACATACTGTTGAACCACGCATAACTAGCCATAATACTTCTCGTTCCTGCAGCACTAGCAGAAGTTTTCCGTGTGTTACTTTGCCGCAGGCGAGCGGACGGTGACTCCTTCTGGTATTTTCGTCGCTATCCGATGCACAAATACCGTCTTCGTACAAATCGCAGTCTCCCCGGGAAGATGAAGAAAGCCGAAGCCCTGCTTTCTATATCCGAATCTGCATTGCAGATTTTCATCGGGTTTCTCATGCAAAAATTCCTTTTCATACATACTGCTAAGTACGTCGATATTTATGCGATGCGTAGCCGCATGGCCATGTTGATATTGAAGTCCGCAATCTCGTCGCGGCTATGCGAGTTCTATCCTATGCAAAAGTATCGCACTCATTTTCGGAAAGTTGTCATGTCAAATTGCGACATTACTGCATGACAGAACTATCTACGTTGCTGATGCAGCTATTGCTGCCACTTCCTTGTAGCAAGCTAAGCATCTTAATTTCCGCTTTTTGATATCAATCCTGCCCAGATCATTTACTTTTGTTACATTGTGCTTGAAATAAAAACGCAAGAACTACGTCGTGGTAAGTAGTGTGCGATATTGAAATTGTTGCCGTGCCTATAGTGTGGGGAGAAATGGTGGGCAGGGCACCAACTGTCCCGAACCGTTCCTCAAAGTGCTGCTCCATTGGCACCATTTTCGGAGCGGCTCCGTAGTTTCTTTGTCCTCGTCGTTGTCCCGTGGTACTTGTCAGTGGAAACTCCTACAGCTCAAAAGCAAAACTGCTTCACTGATGGCACTTTATTGTGCGATATCATTTTTAGGAATCATCCTGTTCGCTCGTGAGCAATGTCCTCCCTTTCGATTCTTCATTTTTGTTTTTGTTTTCGCTTTTGCCCATGTTGGTGATCGACACATAAAAGATTGGTATAGTAGTTCACCTTGATGCATGTGAAACACAGGCCAGTATCTTTAAACCTCTATGGTTATTAAGCTCCTGCTCCTCGTAGGCGTGCGTCCTACTTTCTCCGGCAGTGTAAACAGAAAGGTAGAAAGGACGTCTCGCCTTCTTCGGCTAAAAGACTCACAACGCCGCTGTGAGCAGGTGAGAAAAAAATACGCACGTCGTCGGAAGTACAAACACTGACATGTTGCCCTCTCATCTCTCGCTTGGAGCACTCGTCCTCGCACGTCAAGTACATTATCGCATATTACAACTGCGGCGCACTCAAAAATCTCTCCTGGGTACTGCAGAAGAAAAGTAAAGATTGAACAGCAGAAAACTATAATAGCAAAAGTGTTGTTCATATCCCACATTACTGGAGTAGACAACAGGTGGAACAAAGTATTCGATCCTCTTAATCTTATTTCTTCAAACGCAAATAATACGACAAGACAAGGCATCTAAAAAGATTGCTTTGTCCTCGCGGGGGGGTTGTAGTTTAGCTTTCAGGGGCGGGAAAAGTCCTCCACGACACCGTCGTGGTGATCTATACTGTTTTCATATACCATCAACGTTCTTCTTGCTGGGTGAAAAAACGTAAAAAACTTTTTGCGCAGTAGTGTCATATTCGCTCGCTCCAGCACTGTCATCAGTTCAATGCTCCTACTTAGGCCGCGGGCTGTCTAGCAGTGACAGCAAACCGCTGCGCACGTGCTGTTTTCGCAAAAATATTAAACATGTGACATCACACGCAGCTTTTTGACGGTAGTTTCCTTCCGGAATAGAAGTGTTTCCTGCTCGACTCTGCCTCCGCTTAGCCCCGTCCGCCGAGCAGCGATTCCAGCAGTCGCTTTTTCGCCGCTTGTATCAAAGTGCACAACTCCCCCTCCCCCTCATTTGTATAGCATGAACGGCAATACAAGCATCAGCAAGAGTGCCGGTTTTGCATAACAAATTTGCTCTGGAGTGTAGTGCTATTTGGGCTACCAGGACTTGTCATGCAAACAGTGCCAAGAGGCAAAGGATGGATTGGGTATTTTGCATGACCAATGAGGGGGAGGGGGAGTTGTGCACTGTCATAGCCTGGGTAGCTTGCTGGAACACGCGCTCGGGCTCGGACTGGTATGAAAAGAAAAAAGCGCAGCAGCTACATGATGCTTTAGACATAGACACATTGGCTCCGGTAAATAAAACTTCGCCAACTGCACAAACTTGCTCGACAACACACAAGAATAAAAACGTGCATATTATAGAATGTAATGAGACTCGCAAGCCGCGACTCCTCGAACATGTACATGACAGATGTTGTTTGTCTTGCCTGTCGTCCTGCTGCAACCCCATTTGTACTCACTGTAGCTGCAGAACTACACTTCCTTCCTTGCATAACTGGTTGCTTTCGCTCAATCCGCTTCCCAGTCCGCTGTCACCGCCGGTTTCCACGTCCTGCATGCGGATCCGGGCCATCAGCTATGCATTTTTGCAGAAGCTGTACTAGTACTAGTTGTTGTAAAAAATGCATGAAATCTAAAATTACAATTGACTTTCTGCAATACAAATATGTGAACATCAGCGACATTTGCATTTCTCATGCAGATGCAGCTGGGAATAGGAAATCTGTCATGCAGTAAATGCATTTGATACACTTGGACTACTACTTCTTTTGCAATGCGTACGATCTTCTCCTCGTCGATTTCCATCACGATGCCGTTGTCGTCCTATGAAGGTGCACAAATCCTACCCATTTGGTTACCAGATGAGCGCAAGCTCTTGTTTCGGTCTGAGTCTCACTTTACTTTTAAGATAATTTTTTTACGAAAACAGTTACAATTTCAATTTGTTGGCATGACAATCTGCTGTGCTCTCATGTGCGTGCAGCTCTCAAACAGCACTACATCGGTCTGCTCGCAGTATTCTGGCTTTCGTGTTGTCATCGTGATAGTTTGTCATGCGCAATCTACGTTAGTAATGTCGTTTCTGCTGCGTAAAATCTTTTTATCATGACCTACTTTAGTACTGCTCGAGTGGAGGGGTAGGAAGTGGTTCTTGTTCATTTTCGTACGTCCGCCACTTCGTCCAGCACGAGCAGTACTTGATCCAGGTTCTCCAGCACGGTTTGCTTCGTCAGGGAGTGGTTGCCCACGAAAGACACGTTGCCCACGGTGGTCAGCGCCTGGCACAGCCCCTCGAGCAGCTGCGCCAAAATCACCTCGTTGTCTTGCACCGAGCAAACAATGCACACGTACACGTCGTTGATGATTTTGTAGAGCACCAACTGGTAGTCCCCGATCAGGGCCACGTCGCCCTCCGTGGGCCGTCCGGTGGGCTTCGCCAACTTACCAATCACTTTCATCTATGCACTGCAAAAGGATTCATCGCACTAGTGGAGATACTTGCAAGAGAAATTTTTCAGACGGGAGAATCAACTTGTTTTTGTTGCAGCTTTACATCTGAAAGCGAAATCGGATCTGTCATGCCTACCAAACTTCTTGCAACCGGCAATGCGTACTAGTACGACGCTTTTGTAGCGCCAGTGCGTATCTTCTCGAATTTTCGCTGGGCGTCCACGGTGGGAAACAGCTTGGTGCCGTTGGTACAGTACTTCACCGCCAACCGATTGCTCTCCTGGTCCAGCACCAAAAGTGCCAGGACCTGGCTCGCCGCACCACTCATCGCCATTTTGCGTGTAGTGGAGAAGTGATTGGGGAGCAGCTCACCGACAACAAGCTGTTGTACAGTACTACAAATCGTATCGGAAAAATTAATAGATTTGTTTCTTGTTTCTAGGAAATGAAAATAAGTAAACCTAATACCGGTTGAATTCCTCTGGTTCTGCTAGTGGTGTGGGCAGAACTGAATGAAATGGTCGCTGCTGATAGACGACACAAAAATTGAGGACGCGGTTTCAAATATTTTCAATCTTTTCATGATGACGTACTTATTTTCAGTGTAAACGTAAAGGTAAAGCTATGTAAGATAACAACTTCACGGTCAACTACACATTCATTTCTCAAGGAGTGTAAAAATTGTTCGCTTGAAGAGAATCGAAATCGTTGTTTAGTGGTACAAATAGAAATACAGTTTGTCGCTGAAGCATGTTGTGAAGGGTGAAGCGAAGATGAGCAACTTGTTATTCTACCACTGCTCAGTCTTCATCTGATAATCCTACACTTCCAAGTCTCGTCCGCCCTTGTGGATCTTCAGAGCAATAGAGGAAAAGCTTCGTATGAATGTGATGGAACTTGCAGCAACATTTTGATATCATTGGGAGAGGAGGTGCATGAAGCAGCAGAGCGATCACTTCACATGATTGTATGCCCTCAGTTTGAGCTCGGTGTGCTGCTGTGTGAACCGCAGACGGAGAAGTAGATTCTATACACAGAAGTATTTCATGCTGGAACACTTTGGATAAAACGCGAGGGCACGGCGACATGATCGCGGCTGGCTGTTCACTACTTCATTGAAATTTAATAATCTCCCACTTGAGCTTGTGAAGATCAATCGACTTCATCGACTTATCGAGCTTCTTATTTCTCTTCGTCTTCATCAATATCGGGAGGTGTACATGATTACCTCCACCAACGGATGCGCTTCGGTATTGCATGCTAGTATAGAAGTTTTTCTTTCTTTATCATTCTTCTTGGTCCTGTACATCAAGGTCCACCATTTCTGCATTTGTATTCTTTCATCAGGTTTAAGTGAGACCAAAATTGAATTCGACCCCGTGCGGCGTCGGAGGCGGTGCGGGAAGTTGCGGAGCGGGCGGTGCTTGTATGAAAGTGCTCAGAAAGGACCCGCAGAGCCGTGCACAATTGCCGTCTGATGTCAAGACGAAGCCACTTGACTCGGTAAGAATGCAAAGACGATGAAGAGCGAGCCGTGCATTCAACGATGTACCAAGTATAATCAGGAAACTTTGGATGTATGACGATCATGTAGCACGTACAACTTTGTACTTACGCAGAACGGCTACAACATGACCCCAGTACACGAGCATGCGTGGTCGTCGACGCGAGAGTTCAGCAATTATGGACCTCACAATGATTTTTTTTCATAGTCTCCGGTGCCGCATCGTCTTCCCCTGGTTTTTCGTCTTCAGTCTATCGAAGGAAAAAAGTGTTTCACTATTTCGAAGATTACGATTAGTTGCGTTTTTGCTTTTGCTTTTGCAGAGCTTTTCCTTTACCAACATAACAAGGCTGATGTCCTGCTCTCGCACGACAGAGCAAATCAAAATGAAAATCATGCGCACTGCCTCAGGGAAACAGTCTTCAGGAACGGTAAATAGGGCATCCAAAAGAACTCTTCCTCGTTTCTGGCAAAGCGAACTGCTTAATCCATTCATGCATCCCCTGCATCGCATGTCCACACTTCTGAAACATGTTTTTCCTACGATAGACTCTGGTCCTCGAACATCGCACCTGCGCATGGACGTAATGTTGATGTGCAATACAACAAATTGAAATTTTGTTGCGGGGGCGGATCGATCCTGGCCATAAATAATTCCATCTACATGCAAGGCATATTCACATTTAGCGTTTGTGCCTGATGCTGTTGCAAGAATGAACGAACCCACAACTACGGGATGATGCTCCAATCCTGATCTTCATCGCCCTTCTCGCAAGGACACAGTCGTGCTACTGTAGCACCGAAAAAGGACATCCATAGTGCAGACTTCCAGTGCCGTAGTTCCCCGTGGCAAGAAATCTAAATCTAAATCTCAAACACGATCGATCCTCAGAATAATCCGTCGCAAAATAAGCATGAAGGATTTATATACGATCAAACGCTCCGTTGTTCAATTTCGCGGTGAGTTTTCCGGGCTGCTGAATGATGCCCCGAAATTCCCCTGTGGCGGGGTCAAACTTCGCCCGCAGTACCCCGGACGCACAGCCGAGGCCCTTGGTCAACGGTGGCTCGATCGCAGCCGGGAAAGCGGTTCTTAGTCGTTTTGCACGGTCGTGAAAAGAAGTTCTCCTTCCGTTCTGAAGAGGCGGGGGGCGTTGATCGATGGTCCTCGCTGTTCGGAAACACAAGGCTTCCGCCCTCTGCTGATCGTCTCCACCAGCACTACGAAGACCCATGCTGCAGCTCTCGTGCGCCGTCGCGTGTGATTTTAAAGTCCTCCCCCTGCCTTCTACTGCTGTCGGCGTGCCGAGAAACCCGAGCTCGCTGAACGAGGAAGCACTGACCGCGGAGGTGCGACGACCGAAAATATGGGCGGATTTGTTGTGTCCTAGAAGTTCTTGTGTGCAACTCCAACTACTAGTACAACCGGGGTGGACGGCTGACGTTGTACACGGCGGAACGGCTGAAAAAGACGAGGTTGTTGAGGAACAGGTCGACAGACTGCAAGACTTGGTGGAGAGTTGAGCGAAAAGCTCGTCGAGCGCGACCGGGTGTCGTGTCAACATCTTGCTTGTTGCTTGTGGAGGATCAGGATGCGCATAGTCTAAACTAATAAGTATTTGAATTTTGTCAGGACATCCACCGAGTCTTCTTCCAGGGTGGGAAAGTTACTTATCAAACTGGGTCGACTTGGTCTCGCTGTGGTCTCCTGCAGCAAGACCAGATTAAACACGCTAATAACTCTTCCACTTTCAACATCTTGACTGGATGCTTCCAGGAAACTACCAAACGAGAGGAATCCACTCGTACAGTACTTCTCCAGGTGCATCAATGAGGACAACGAATACCTGAGCCGATATTAATTTAATTAATATCGTCAGCAGAATCAAATTAGTACTACTGTATAGAATTAACTAAGTACGACGGAAGACCAAGACCTGCCACCTGCTTTCGTTCAGGTACAGGTCCACTACTGTAGAATACGATGGTGACACGCACACGACTATCGAATACGATAGTACTATCGAATGTTGCGATACAGTTACTTGTTATTACTGCGACGATAATACTATCGAATCCGACGATACTACTATGATATACGACGATACACCTATCGAATACGACGATACTACCTGTCGCATCGAACACGATATAGGGCTGTCCTCGCGACTTCTCGAAATTGCTGCGGGAGGCGGTCCTGGCTTCGTTAACGACTACGACATGGTGGAAGATCGTCATAGTCATTGGCCGACCGACAGAAGAGGGAACACAAGGCTGACAACAGAAACTTGCTACTCGTTTCTTTATGCTAAGGGTTGTTCATTGTTCTACTTTTTACTGCAGCAAGCACTTAAGGAAAAAATGAGAATCGTTTCTTTTTTCAGTTGAGCCCGCCGATGTTGAAGGGGTTTTTGGCTGGCTTTTCTGCTTACCGTGGTGGGGAACCACAGGTATCCGTTCCTTTGCAGTAGTACCCCGAGTCTTCGTCACAGGCATTCCCCTTCGTCACTCGAGCTCTGCACGTTTGCACAAAATCGTTATCCCAACGTGTTGCGAATAATGTCTTGCCGTACAACGTTTATGAGATTTTAAAGCGTTACATGGGTCGCTGCTGTATAATTTGTGACGCAGAGTCACTACGTATCTTCGTCCTCCGATGCTAATGTTTAGCGCGTTGAAAATTTGTCACACGAAGTATATTCTCTGAAAATTGACCATCTTCGTCCCCATTCGATTTGAAATGTAGAAAGTTCTGTCGTTGTCATGCAAAAAGTGGATGGCGGGCGCGGGGCGGATGGTTAATCTTCACGGAATAAAGTAGCTTGTTATCCTCCACACGACCAAGCTACTTAGCAGGACAAGAAATTCATATTGAAGCGCTAAACCGAGGGACAAGGATAATAATCTGTATCTGCGGCAAATTTGTAATACGAGACGGACAACAAGCTTCCCCGTTTCACTTTTGCCAACATTATTGCATTACAAGATCATGTACACAGCAAGGAACGCAACGCTTGAGAATGGCATAGGACTTTTTCATCTTGCTTGTCCTTGAGCGAGCAACAGCACCTGATTTAGTTTGTCAGTATCAGAGATAGCAGAAGCATAGATATGGATATCGATATTATTATAATAAAGTTGGTTCCTAAACCCTGAAACCTAAGCTAAACCCTTTCCGGATCGATCTTGAGCAGCAGATCCGGAGCAATCTACAGCAAAACAAACAAGGCGACTCTTCCCGCGGAGTCATGTTCACGGTCATGCATGCGCAACATGATGAAGTGTAAGTGAGTGAAAGCATCTGTCTTCTAACTGTAGTACGCGACGGGTTCTTGGTTATCGACGGGTTGGTCATCTTGAACGGGAGGGTTGTCCACATAGTCATTCGCAACCCGTTCACCGACAACAAGCATAGCAGGTCCCATATAAAGACTGACGCAGAAGGCAGCCACCATACCCGCTTTTTCCACCAGCCCGGACGCGCCATCACTTTCAACGATGGCCTGCTGCACCTGGTCGCCGCCCGTCGTGCCTTCCTCGTCCGCAAACTCGGTCTCCGTGGTATCGCAAGAAAAAACCAACGAATGCAGAAATCCACCTCGATCGATGCAATATTTTCTTTTTGGATTTCATTTATTTTTTGAACGACAGAATGACACAGCATGCAATGGCACAGCTGGAGAGCCGCCTAGATGCTTTTAGTCTTTGTTTTTAGCAGGACTAAAACGCACGACCACGGACGCCAACAACTCGTGACCTACATAAAAATGTTGTTTTGTATATATCAGAAAAGATTGCCCTGTCTGACGAGGAGTGCAGACGTGTACGTGGAGTACCGTGGAGGCGAAGGCACACACCAGAAATAACCTGCGCCCCAGGCATGCGACCCACTGCTACAAACCGCCGCGCCTGCGGGGCTGTGGGGTTGCGCGTCCAGGGTGCTGGGCGGTGTGGTGTGAGGGCTGGCCCTGGTACTTAATATATCTGCGTGCCCATCGGGCACGCAGACCATTGCGTTTCGTTTCGGTGACTCTATTTGTAGTCAGATCGTAGTGTGTATGTGATGCGGCCCATCGGGCGGCCCCTGCCATTGGCAGGGGCTAAATACATGGCGCGGGGGTGCCTTGTTTTTTGCCTCGTGTTCCTGTGTGTCTGTCTGTACTTAGCCCCGGCTTATGACCGTCGGCGCGATCTTTTGCCGGCTGCGGTAGGTTGCCGCTACACTGGCCCCGGACCCCTGTGACAGGGACCTTGCGGGCATCGCCCTAGTAGGATACCAGTGGCTATTTCACAGCCTTCAGTGAGGCCTTCCCATCGTAATGGACCGCGGCGCCCCCGCTCGCGCGAATCCATTTACGACAGACGAGCGCCTTGCTACTGCATGTCTGCCGCATCGCGGCGTGCATCGACAAGCAGAATCGCGAAGCGCCCGCGACACACAGAGCGGCAGGCCGCAGACGAAGCTGCGCTGTTTTCCGATGTGTCTTGCCGATAGCGGGCCTGGCCAATAGGCCAAGATAACGCCGGGCCTGTGCCCCTAACGGCGTGAAGAACCTCTGCTACACCCACATCGTGGGCAGTCGGGTTCTCCACTCCCCGGCCAGTGGTGCTCGCGAGAACCGAGAGCGCGTCATCGACGTGTGTGTACCACTGAACGGAGATAGCCTGGAGGGTAGTCGAAGAACGCGAACTCTCTCTCCGCACTGTGAGAGCTGCACAACAACTTCCTTCCCACCGGGACATCACCCCCTGTCAGGATAATGCCCTGGCGCTCGGCGGTAGGGCCGAGCTACGTGCACACGGCAAGGCGCACGCCGTCTGTTCTGACCTGCCCATGGCTTGGGCAGCTCAATGGCAACGGGACCACCGGAGCTCTTTGCTTGCCGCACACTGCATTGATCCACGCTAAGGATCGGCAGCGCCGGAAACGACAAGGCGGAACTGCGAAGCAGAACCAGAGCGAAGGCCTGAGGCGCACAAGTACGCCTCGCTTTCTCATCGAGACACTCCTCCGTCAAATATCCACTCTCCGAGAACCGAAGAGACGAAAAAACGCAAAATCTAGGCGAGCCAAGACAATGCGGTATTTCTGGAAAAAGGACAGAGACAGACCCAGCCGAAGCTGGTCGACACCGGGCAGCCAGCCCGGTGTCGGAGTGTGCAACCCTCTTGCTTGATCATGTGAACTGATATAATCGCTACGCGACGCATATATCAGAAAAGATTGCCCTGTCTGACGAGGAGTGCAGACGTGTACGTGGAGTACCGTGGAATAAATGGTGGGGGGGGGGACTAACCCACTTACCACGCTCACTGCGTCCACCGCGATGGTAAACATTAGCTTCTTCACGATTGCGCAGGCCATCTTGTCGATAGCGCTGTTGGTACTATGTGTTTCAAACCTCACCCGTCACGTGGACGGGGAAGGAGGATCCTTCTTATTCTTTTTCTTGTGCTTGCTAGATGAAGAATCTGAATTTCATTTTGCAGTGCTAGCAGAAAATTGCAAGGCAGCAAGAAGTTGCAAAGTAAAACGCAAACTTCCTCGACAGCCACAACCTCGCTTTTCGTTTTCATTATTCTCCATGATGCTCACATTGCCGTGTGCACGTGCTGTGTCAGTACCTGCTGTCAAAAAGGTCACTAGTTCTTTAGCTTTAGGCTCGGCTAGCTGTCAGAGGCCTACCTGGAGGCTGCGTGTGCGTCTTGATCGGTGCTGTAGTTAGACCTAATGAATAAAGGTAGCAGCCCTCTCGCTCTCCTTTCGCTCTCTCTCTCTCTCTCTCTCTCGAACCTAGTACCCTTCGTCACTTCTTGATATTCACGGAACACCTCCAAAAGTGGTAAAAGTGTCACAGGAATCAAGATTCTCTGAGCAGACCACCGCGGATGCAGGAAGCAGCCAGGTGGGGTCCAGGATTTATCTTGCACAGCGAGGCGTGATTAACTTTAAACAAAAGAGTGAGCGGTAGGTGAAATCAGCATGGCAGTCGACAGCAGCACATGCACAGGGAGGTTCCTGCATTTTGCATTTGTGTTGTTGGGTAGAAGATCGTACAACGGCAGTGTAATCGTACAGGGGCAGTCGCAGTTGTAGAGTCCTCTGTTGAGTCCTCCCAGTCTTGAAAAAATTGTCCGAATTCCAAGCGTTGTCTGGAGAACGACAAGAAGAATGCCTCTGTTTGTAGTGTCTTGCACTTCATGTTCTAGTTGGTTGGTACATTTGCATTTCTTGATGGGAAATACATTTCTCGGGAGGTACATTTGTTGGGAGGTACATTTTTGTAAGTTGATACAGTAAAACAAGCGAGCAAAAAATAACAGCTACAGAACGCGCTGGTATTTTCAGTATTACGAATAACTACAAGCAGTAGAAGATAGAATGCAGTGTAGGACATTCCTTTTGCTGTTGTTTGGCTCTTCACCATGACTGTCATCTTACGGCACAGTGTAGTATCCACACCTCTGTTGAGCAGCATTTATTTTACTCGTCCCGGCTGTAAAAGCTCTCCGACTTTACGTGTTCGAAGGCCTTATCAAGGATTTTCATCTGCTCCTTGCCCGACTGCCGCGCCAGTGCCGGCTTCGCGTAGTAGAAAAACTTCACATATGCATTGCAAATACGTGGTCTGGGTCTACTGGTTGATTTGTGACGCAAGATTTGTTGAAGGGATGTCGGGTTTGTGATGCATGGATAGGCGTGGTAAGTTTCTTTCTTGTGCAGGAAGGTAATTCACGAAGGAATTCCGAAGAAGCCATGAAAAACCCCGCATGCTTCTATGCGGTACAAGTGGCCACCGCCGTGCATTGCAAGTACAAGTAGTAGCATCCCAAACTTCCAGATGATCCAGGAGACACCTTTGCTTGCAATGCATATGACGACAACCCGGCGCCGCTCGGTTTCCGTTAAGCCGATGCTGTATGGGATTGTCAGACGTTGCATTCTCGACTGTATCTATACGTGATTCCTTGTCTTCATGCAAACCCACTTACCATAAGCCAAAGCCATCAGACGACCAAGCCACGCCGCGTGACAAATCATCGAACAAGGGCTAAACAGCGTCGAAATCTGTGCGAATATTTGTAATGCAGGAGTCGCAAATCCACACAACAGTTGAGAGTGCACCGTATGAGAATCCCATATGCTGGTTGCGCTCTTGGTAAGGATGCCCAGAACCTCGGGTGCGTGGTGCTCAGACAAGAGTCGGATCACGTGGTCAACAACTACGGTCCGGAGTTTGGTAACCTGAAAACATATGTGTTTCTTAGATGCACATGCATGCACGCACTGACTGACTGACTGACTGACTGACTGTTTCAATTTCAAGATGGTACGCCCGGGCGCGTAAGTTCCGCACTTCTGATGGTGCAGCACGAGTGCTCCCGCCAGTACTACACTTCTGATGGTGCGCGTCTGGTGTAGCTGCTGGCGCAGCAGAGACTTATGTTCTACAGTTGTTATACTCCCGACGGTGATCGCAGCACCAGGAGTCCGGGCCAGACAGAAGGTACTGAAACCCAGTAAAGATCTCTCACACGGGTGGGCCGCGAAACGACCCGACCTCCCACAAGCGGGGGCCCTCCCACAAGCGGGGGCCCTGATCAACTTTTGTCTTCTATTTTCCGCTTGTAGTGCTTGCTTAGTTGATGCACAGCGTTTCGCTATCTATTGCTAGAGGGTCATCACTCGGCTATGTGATGGGGTCGGCGCAGGTCCAGGCTTTGCTTGCTGGATCTTGTCGAAATACTTTGCCCAGCACCGTTGCTTCCTCCGTGCCACTGTTTTCGCAGAAATAGAAATTTTGCACCCGTCGCCGTCTTGCACCGTGAAGTTGTATGTGGACCGCCGCAAGTCGTATGCATGCACGCAAACATATATATACCTTACATGCAAAACGAAAGCTAAACCGGGAGAAGGAGGACACCCAGCAGCAACCCTCGTCCAGCCGTACAATTTATATTCGCAGTACCAAGAAACCATCTACCTTGTACGTGACCGTCGCACAGAGAAGTTGCCACCAACGCAACGCCGTCCAGTGTTTCGTCAGTCCGTGCAGCTTCCGCGCTTCGTAGCACCAGGCCAGCAAAGCAGCCCAGACAGCGGGGTCCTGTACCACATTCGGCTCCACGGTGATGGTGCTGCCCTTCGTGGATGTAATTGCACTGCCAGAAGCTTCGTCCCCTGCACCTCCCGGTCCCGACGTCGTGCCGTTTCTAGTAGAACTGCTGGCATCAGCCAATTCACTATCCTTCCGCACATGACTCCACAAGACGCACCTGTGCGCACGCATCTTCTTCTTGCCCACCCGAAACACGACGAGATCATCATCGTGTGCTAGTTTTTGAAGGTTATTGTTGTGCTCCTCGGAAGATGACTCGGGCGTCGATGCTGATACCGGAGTGGTGCCCGTAGTACTACTTGCGCTTAATGCAGCACCAGTTGCTGCCCCCGCGGGAGACGTAGTTGTGACGAAAGGGTAGAGGTGCGCAAATGCGTCCTTCGTACCGTTCGCGGGGATGCTGGCCAGACCGAGGGGAAAGAGCGGGATTCTTGCTTGCGATGCCGCCGCAGTCGCTATTTGTTCAGGTCGTACGCCACCATTTTTACCACTAGATGAACCGCCGGGTTGTTCAGCAGAAGTTTTTGTTTTTCCGTCGAGTATGGTTTCTGGACAAAAATCTGCGTTTTTGCTCGTGTCCTCCCGCAGTCGGGAGATGCAGCCGGGCGTGGAAATGCTATTTGCCTTGCCGCCCTGGGAAACAACCACCGGAGGCGGGAGGGGATCTTCCTGGAGCTGGCCGCTGGTTGAGTATGCGAAGAAAATGAAAAGATGAAAGCGCGGAGACGTACTACAAAGAAATAAACTATCTCTATCAATCTTCTTGCTCACCTACCACCTCCACTGGTCAATTCCAAAAGATCGCCCAGGAATGGTGCGTAAAAAAAAAACTGTACGTCCTTCCTGATGGATAATTGTCATTGAGGGTGATGCAGCTAATATCTTGCTGCGTGGTGGGTAACGTACGAGGACAAGCATAGCATGGTGGGTAACGTAATTCAGCGTGGGAATCTCGATGCAAGAATTCATTGGATTTTGCGGCATAGCTAACGGACACGGTGAGTTGTAGAAGAGCTGCTGGTATTATAGCTAGCACTTTCATCGTTCATTTTCTTGTTTCATAGCAGAAACAGTTGACTCAAGAACCGCGCGAAAAGCTGCAGTGGTGTAGCGGTCAGGAGTTTGGCGTTGCTGGTCGGCTTTGCTTCAACGGAAAACTTCACTTCGGCTAGCCTGGTTATCCTGTGCAAAAGTATCGCACCCGTATAAAAATAAATGCAAGTCCTGCATCACAAATCTTGCTCTTAAGGTAAATCCGCATCACAAATTTTATTTCTCATGCTAAGAAAATTTGTAATGCATTCATACGAGTACGATAGATACTTTTGCAATGCATACTGGTGTGCACGCCGTTGTTGATTAGCAGTTGGTCGTTTTTGGTGAGCTGCGACAACAGAAACAGATTACCGCAGGCGCCCGCTACGTGGAAGGCGGGCTGATATTTTTTTTAAATTCTTGATGTCGTGGGTTCATCACACCAGTTTATGATTTTGTTGGCACGCAGCTGGTGGGGTTATTACTGCCGGCGTTTGGTCAACGTATGAGAAACACTGAAAGGCTACTGTGAACCTTTAATAAATGTGTTTAGGCGTGCTGTTTCATCAGATGAAAGTTCAGAGATCCTGTGCGTGTAGTCGGCAAAGATGCAAATGGTTTGCGGCAAAATCAACGAATTTGAATTTTTGATGATGCCTGTGTCGAACCCAATTGATAATCTAAATGATTTTCCTATCTATACAAAACAAGATTTTCAATTTTCTGTCCTGAAGAAATAAATCCGCACTACCTGGACAGTCACAGGAATATTAGACGAAGACTCCGCCGCTCCTTCGCGTGCCTTCTGAAGCAGCAGACGCACCAGCTCCACGTACTCTTGCTTTTCTCCTGGTCGGCAGTGTTTTTCGCGGAATGGACTATTCGTAAGCACGACCGTGGTACGATCTTCTACTATAGCAGGTCGTTCTTGGGCTGAAACAGCAGATGCTCCTTCTGCTGCTGCCGCGGCACCCGACGTCGACGAGCAGCGCTGTGGCTTCGCTGCCAAGAAGCAGAGCATTTCCGTGTAGGACTTCGTCGCCGCTTCTTTTCTGCTTCTACTTGAATTCTTCGTTTCGTCGTCCACTATTCGGAACAAATCCAGAAGCTTTTTCCTCGCCTGTTGCCAGTGACGGGCTCGTAGGGCGGACCAAATTTCTTGGCGCAGACGTCGTGGTTCTTCGGCCTGTTCAGTCAGAATTTCGCTTCCTGCGCTTCGCGCCTCCTGGCCCAGCTGTGGAGAACGGGAGCGCTGCCTTGGCTTCTTGTGTCCGCTGCCGCCGTCTCTGCACGCGGGAGGGGTCGTGGTTTTCCCGGCTGGCGCGGCTCGTGCACTATTACCTCCGGGCACGACCTTCGACGTGCTCCGGTCTATGCCGTGCACTCGCCTTTCGTCAAGGACTTGGTCTGGCTCCGCTTCGCGACCCCGGCTGTCGGTGCTATCTTCCAACCCGAAGCGCGGCAACGACCGGCACTGACTCGCCTCCGATTTGTGATGTAGTTGCCGACTTTGTTTATCCATTTTCTGAGCAGTTGCGGCTGCCCCGGGTCCTTCCGTGCGCCGATCCTCTCGTTCAGCTGCAAGAAAAATGTTGTTTCTTTCATCGTCATTTTTTACCCTGTGGCCCCCTTTGTCGTGGTAATCGACTACAGGAAGGCCGCTGTGACAGGCGTCAACACTCCTCGCTTGAGCACGTACTACCTTGACACTTTCCGGAAACACGACCAGAGGCGGAGGGCGCCGCGAAGACGTCGACGTGGACAATAAACCTGCGCTAGATCTTCTACCAGTACTAACAGCGCTGCTGGAAGAACTACCGGACGAAGCCGAAGCGCTGCAGCCATTGTTCCCGGCTTGTTGTATGTGCTGATGAGCACCACCAAGACCACGGACGACGTGCTGACTTTCCTGAAGGTGGAGCCCTCCAGCCTCAGAAGTTGTAGAAACTACGTCTGCGATGGTCAAGTCCACCATATCCAGGAGATTCTGCAAGGCCTCGCACTGGTGATCGAAGTAGCGTGATTTATCCTGCCCTCCACCGAAGTGCGCGATTCCAAAGGTTTGCACCAGCCGCTCGCGGTGGGTGGAAACAAGCTCGATTCCGTCTTGCAGCTCCGTGGCCAGCGCTCGCATCCGAGGCAGATGAACAACTGAATTTTCTTCTCGTAGTTGCGCCGGTTCGGTCTTTGCATCTGAAGCAGTAGAGGCTGCATCAGTGTTTCTGCTCATCCTGGCGATCAATTCTGTGGCCTCTTTGCTTGCGGTTTTCAGACGGGCACTCGCCGCGGCGAAAGAGGCGGCTTCGGCCGTGATGCCTGATGTGTAATTTTCATTTTTCTATTTTGCGCGGCTCAGTTCAGTTGTGATTGTGAGATACTTCTGTTTCTTGTTTCAATCGTGGCTGTTTTTCTTGAGAGTGGTTGTATGGGACTGTCAAGAAAAGCGGGTATCAAATCACGAAAAATCGAAATGTAAAATCATCCATAACTCTAATCAAAATCTTCAATACCAAACAGCCTTTGCTTCAGAGTTGTTCCATCTTTTTGTTTTTCCTGTGCTTCCTCCTGCTTGTTCTCCGAATGTTCTTCCAGAACAAGCCAGCTCCGTGCCTTCTCGCACTCGCGCGCCCACCTGTGGTAGTCGCCGCCCCCTTTCAAGATCAGCTGCGCGCCGAAAGAAAATCGTAATTGGTTTTCTACTTCTTCCCTTCGTGGTTCGGGTTCCTTGCAGCTACTAGCGCTCGAAGAAGACGATGACGAGGAAGACAGCGGTGCTCCTGTACTGTTCTCGCCAATATGGAGTACATGATCCCCTTCTAGCGGAAACCCGCGTTCTTGTCCTGCCGAAGAAGTGGAAGTGCTCTTCAGATGAAGTCCCGCGGTGTCATAATTCTTGTTCCCCAAGCCGAGTTCGTCCAAGGTCTGACGAGCGCGCTCTGCCGCCCGCTGTTCCGCCGCGCTTAGGCGCGCGCGGCAACTCCCGGCAATAGACGTGGAGGAAGACGAGGAAGTTCTCGTCGCGGGCGCGAAGGATGATGATTCCTTCAGGTGGTCCGTAATTGTCGCGTGCTTGCTGTCGCGACGAAGTGCTTGTATTGTACTTCCACACGACGTGGAGTCATTCTCGTTCTTTTCAAGTTCGTTCTCCCCAGCACGCATTTCTACTCTACGCCCGCCTTCCACTCCTGCCCCTGGCTCTCCATATCGGCTCGCAGCAGCAGCCGCGGCCTTCGAGCGCACGAAGCTCCGAATCAGGTCGGAGGAGACGGGGACGCCGGCGCTCGACGCCGATATTATTGAATATTCGTCACTTGTAATAATTCCGGATCCACCACCTCGTGCCACAGCCGCCCCGTGCTTCTTGCTCTCCGCTTGGCCTGCGGCTTCTGTCGATGATGGAGCAACTGCGTCTCCTACTACCTTGACTTCTCCTGTCTGGTCGTGGTTCCTCGTCCCATGAGCAGCTTCTCGCGCAGAATCTGTAGCCGGAAGAATCCTCTTGACACCGTCAGGAGCTGCACCTGCAGCGCCAGCAGCCGCAGCGTCAATCGCGCCGAGAGCAGCTGCAGGGCTTCTTTCCGTCGCATCAGCTCCATGGGACGAGCTCCTTGACGACGTCGAGCCCGGCAGAAAGAGCTCGGCCAAAAACGACGTCCGCGCTCCGGAAGCCTCCTTCCGGAAAGAAGAGGAGGAACTACCGGTCGCGTAGGAGCTCTGCTGCTGCGTTGCAAATGAACTTGTGGTCGTCCTTGTATCTACTGAACCAGTGGGGCTGGTGTTTCTGTCCTGCTCGCGAACGCTACCAATGGCGCAGTCCTTCAGCTCTTTGTAGTCCTGTTCGGGAATACCGTCCAGCGGCGATCCCACAGGAGAGGCGGAGTACACCAACCCGTTGGAGGAAGTACATAATTGCTCCCCCGCGTTTATTTTCGATGTTTTTGACCCCCTAGAGCAAGAGACGTTCTTGTTCTCCTGGTTGTAGTTCTTGTAGTCCTTCGACACAGACTTATTCAGGCCGCAGGCGCTCCGCCAGTCCGTCTCTAAAACGGTTCTCGTGAAGGGCACCTGTTGGTTAAGAATACGCGCGGGTTCTTTAGGCTGGGCGGCGGCAGGTGGAGGCAGCACCTCCGCTACAGGTGCAAAGTTGACGCCATCGTCCCTTCTATCTTCGCGGCAGGCCGAGACGCTAACGTCATCAGATAGTGGTACAACTACACCCTCCACGCCAGGTGGTGTCGTGGCAATGTCAATGTGCTGAACATGATCTCCATTTGCGCGATCTTCTGGTCCTTGTTGTCCTTTGCCGCAACTAGCGCGGCTCGCTCCACCGCTTGAAATAAGGTAATCAGCGGGAGCCTTGGTGGTAGTCGGCGTTATGAAAGACGAGTTCGGGCGGGCAGCTGCACCTGCGGCATGAGTAGCAGCACTGGTGGTGGTCGTTGTACTATGGTCCTGCTTGATACAAGCACCGTTTATTTGCATTTCCGCGGTGGCTGTCTGGCATGTTGATGTCCGTTCTCCGCCCACTGAAGCTGCGACACGAACGACCGGCGCAAACGTGAAATCGAGCCCACTTGCTTGCTCTTGATCACAACTATCCCCGACCTCGTGGCGCGACGACATCGGGCTATGTTTGTTGCGGTCCACAGGTGGTATCTGCGCTTCAACAGCTTGCTCCGGCGGGCCACCTGCGGGAGGCAGCTCCACACCCGCAATCGACGAGAGACTCTCGCTTGGCTGCGGCGCAGGTGATGGTGAAGGGGTAGCAGTGGCCGGCGAGGCATCCTCTGGGGACCGCGGCTGTGTCTCAGTAGAGGCAGCAGGTGCGCCGGGTGCTGGTAATATTGATGACGTCAACATGTTCGAGTTGTATGAGATCATGTTGATGCAGTGCAGCAACTATGATCTATGAGTGCGACAACTAAGTAGAAAAATAAAAACGGACCTGTCGCTGTCTCTTCTGCTGCAGCCTCGGTGGAGGCGGTGCTGGACTTGTCATAGGAGGTAGAAAAATGATCTTTCTTGAGGGTATTAGCTCTGTCCTCTTTCGTCCCCTCCACGATCTCGACCTCCCCTCGAGCTTCCACATCATGCGCGTGGTGGTCTCCAGCTGCATGACCTGCCTTCGTCGAAGTGGCAGCAATCGAGCTACAACTTGCGCCTCGAGGTGATGCTGATGTTGACGCCCGTGGACGAGGTGCTACTTCCTCCTGTGGAACACTACTATCGTCGGTGTTCCGGTCAGTCTTCTGATCCATCATCTTCTCGCCTTGTGCCTCGAATGGACTTTGCGCCGGGAGAGGTGCTTCGACTGGAGTCCCCTCTGCAATTGCGTCATCAGCAGGCCCAAGCAGAGGCTTTTCCTCTTGTTTTATTTCCGCAGTCTGTAGTTGCACTTCTTCCTCTCCATCTGCTGTTTGAGCCGGCAATCCGGAACTGGTGCCCTGCGCCTCCGAAATGACCTCGCCCCCGGTGGCCAAAGAAGAAGATCTAAAAGACGCCCTCGCGGCTGCACTTTTGGCGTTGTAGTGGTATCTCAATCTCGTCGTGCTGGTGGTTGACGATTGTTCATCTTGTCCAGCAGGAGCAACTGACGTAGAAGTTGTTGTCATCCGCCGACCGCTGCGCCGAGCTACACCAGAGCTGCACCTGTTGGTGGAAACAAAATCTTCACGTCGTGCTGTGCAACTTTCTTGTGGCGCTTCAAGGTCCAGCTGGCCGCGTGCGGTGCTCCTGCTTGGTGAGGTTGTGGAAGTGATGGATCCACCACAACTAGAAGCCTGCGGTCCAGCCCCTCCTTCCGCGTTCTTGTTCTTGGGAACGTCCATGTTTTCAACATCGTGGACGTCGCTCCCCGCAACGGCCTCCGTGTCACTACCGCTAGAGGCCGCACTGCTACTACTAGCTTCTGCTTCACCATCATCTTCAACCTGTTCCCCATCATACTGCCTCGTGTCCACGCCTTCCCGTGTGGCTCTTTCCCGAAGGCGTCGTGCTCCTGTTGGGCGTCCCCCGCCCCGGCGAGATTTTCGATGTGCGGCGGCCTCCGCGGCGGTGGCGGCGAACAAAAACGTCCTCGCCGTAGTTGCACTATGAATTGCAAAAGAAGTTGCATCGCACACACTGACACTAGCAGTAACTGCATTTACAAATTTTCTCAGCACGAAAAATAGAATTTATCATGCAGATTTATTACCTGAAGAATGATATTTTCGGCCTCGCGCCATCTCTTCATATTACGTTTTACTACGAGTACGATGTTACTTTTGCACAGCAGGATATGCACCTTTATTCTGCGCTTGCTTGTTTCGGCTTAGCGGCTCGACGGGCTGGCTCTGATGGTTCGTTATCTCTGTTTCTTTCTGTCGCTCCTCCGGAACAACAACCTGCTGCTGCCCAAGCTTTCCTTTTGGACGGTCTGGATGATGTTCGTCGAAGTCCTCGTGGTCGATGTTGTCCTCCAGGAGAGCCGCGCCGTCTGCTCTCATTTCCTCTGGCGCTGCAGTTCCTGATGAGGCAACATCTGACGTGATCTCTTGTTTTTCAAGATCTTCCCCTTCGAGAGCTTGTGCATCGGTTTTTCGATCATTTGTCTCGCGGCCCGAAGGGACGACCAGCATCTCGGGGTCAGCAGAGCCACGATCGAGTTGTAGTTCCCCACCCTCCTGCTCTCCTGTTGATGTAGTATCGAAGTTCTCCAAGTAGCGTGAAACATCTATGGAGATCTCAAACGTTACATTCTCAACTGTTACATGAATTTGTCACGCAAGACTACCTTAAGCCGCCACGTGATCAAGCTGCTTCGCATGACAAATCTCCGAGAGGCTAAGCAGCATCTAAATCTGTGCCAAATCTGTGATGCGAAAGCAGCGAGCTTGCCCCTTTGACTGTTGCCATTACTGCATCACAAATCCATGCAACGGTTGAGAATGTAAGAACAGTTGAGAATGCCATAACATCCCGCCGCACACCCGAGCGTTTGGTCAGCTTTTCCTTGTGCCGATTCTTGGCCGCCGCGGTTGCAAGAAAGCCCCCGAGATGTCGAGGGGTCGTCTTGATGGTACCAGGAGGACCCTCCAGCACAGGACTTCCTTCGACTTGGGTCAACATCATCTTCAGCCCATTCCCTGCTCGCTCCTACTGCTCGTCCTGCTAGGGGCAATACAACATGAACAACGACTCTATAATGCACACGAAATTGATACAATACTGCCAACATAGCTGGAACATAACCGGGTAATTTTCATGAGTGCAAATTCCAAGATCGGACGGTTGCGTCAACCATTCCATTTTTATTGTGTGAGAAAGTCATTGGTGGACCACGTGGACCATCAGTAGTCTGCTCTCCGTTGTTTTTTTTGTTCAAGTTCAACAAGAAGTTAGGCAACAACATGGAGGTGATGTTGACGACGTGCGTCCCCCTTTATTTGCCTTTGAAGCCATAATTCCATACGACAGAAATTTTTGACACGAAGACTTCAATTTCATCCCTCTAGTTTGTTTGTTTGTTTGTAGTTATGCGTCAAGGTGGGAACGCGTTTACTCACCTTTTTTCTCTAGCGCTATTTCAATAAAAGTTCATAGTTTATCCTTAATCCATATGAAGACTTTCAGTTCCACGAACATCGTGGAAGCCGATAATATATTTCACCACATAGACATAACCAGCAGCATTATGGACGAGCCAGCGGCTGGCACAGGAACATCACCCAGCACGGTACTATGATGAAAACGAGGTGGACCAGAGTCGGCGTCGACGTGGACAGTCATACTGCTCCCGCCCCTTCGTTTCGAGTTTGTTCTCGTTGTTGCTTTTTTCTGGTCGTCAAAAATGTTGACATGCTCCACGCCGACCCCGGGCGGGAGGACAAAAATCTTTACAGTTTGTTTATGTTGTAGAAATCGACATCGGCATTTTCGAATTATCATAACCAGGCAGCACAAGAAAGGAAACCATGCGAGAAAACATCCTGATCCTGATACTTGATTTCGCAAGAAGTGTCCGACAGATCCGAAGCCTGCTTCCATGAAGATCGTGATCCTTGCATTAACAACATTTCACAACACCTCAACAGCGTAATGTTGACGCCGGTAGTACAAAAACTACATTCATCGTATGGTGGTAATGTTAAGTTCATCAGTCGTTAAACTTTTGAAATTCGTCTACAGTGCTGCATGCCAGCAGCAGCGCTGCCAATCACAGCAGATAAATTGTTAAACATAATTCTGGTTCGTATAATGGATTATTGTTTGCAGATTGCTATTGCATGCGTATAAAAATCAGAATAAAGAAGTGGAATTGTCCTTGTCGTCACAAGTAAGTTGTTGACTGTGTCGGTTCGAGTGTCCATTAGTTGGTGAGAATCATTTGCGATGGATAAATCATAATCTGTGGTGTACTAAGTTTTAGCGTCACCCTGTGTCAATTCGATTTCGTGTCGCGCGATTTTTTTTTTACAAGTTAACCAGCCCAAGAAAAACTTCTCACGGAGGTGGAAACATTTATTTTCACATGGTTAAATCTTACAGGTAAAAATTCCTCACATTTGTTTCCCCTGCGTAAAGGAGAAGAAAAGTTCGACATAATTATCGTCCTGTCGATTCGATAAGCCTACTTTGACTTTCCCCGATCATTAGCTTTCCCCCTCGGCTTTTTTCTTGGCACCACCAGGCTTCAGGACGTCAGGAACTTTGAACCCCATCTCGGTCATGATTACCGCTAGCTTCGCCGGGTCTCGGGTGGCGCTTATCCGGTGCAAAAACGTACCCTACTGCACCCCAGAGTTGTCATGCATGTCTGCATGCGCAGAGGCAGAAATAAAACGCAGATCTCATCCGTGGGGGAGCGCGCTGCACATAGTTCCTTCTGTATAAATATTCATCATGTAGTTCTAGTGATCAGCAAAAGAGACAAGATCTGTCGTCTCTCTTGTAGCATTCATCACAGCTGCTAGAGGACACGACTACGTAAACGTATACTACTTTCGTGAGTCTCCAACTTGAATATTGTCATGCGGAGTACTAGTTCCCAAAAGTTGAAGTTCTGAGCTGCATTTGTGTGGCAAAAGTCGCATCTTGATGCTGGGGGGCGGGTGCGCTTTTACTACACAGGATAGCATTCAAGGCCTCCTCCTTCGAGCTGAGTTCGCGGAACATTTGGTTCTTGATGTCCATCGCGCGCTATGAGAGTGCACAACTCCCCTTCCCTTTCCTTTGTGTTGCATGAACAGCAACAAAAGCCCTGGCAAAGATGCAGCTTTTGCATCACAAATTCCTCAAGGATTGTAGTGCTGTTTTGGATTCCGGAATCTGTCATGCAAACAGTGTTCACAGGCAAAAGGTGGATTTGGAAATTTGCATGACAAATGAGGGGGAGGGGGACGAGTTGTGCACTTTCATACGCGCGCAAACTGTGCATCCTTAGCCTCCGCTTTCGACCGCGTTTCTGCCACCTGATGTTGAATTTGATAAACGGCTTTTTTCTATTGATTTTGCGGCTTCAAAAGTGCATGACGAGTGTGCTGCAGCTCCTTATTTTGTGCTGGCCCTTGCGAAGAGCTGCATGGTGGACGATGACAAGTTCAACTCTAAGTTGTAGAAGATTTATCCACCATATTTCTACGCATTCATTTTCACATTCTATCACCTTGACGCAACTCTTTTCCTCGTCCTTCAACTCTAGTAGAACTTTGAACTGATGTTGCTGTTTTTAAGTACCCTTACCTTCAAAAGCGAACAGGTCTTCGCCATTTCCTGTGCCCGGAGTTTCGCCTGGTAATTTCGCTTCTGCAGTATCCTTTCCAAAAACTTCTACCACACCTCCTCCGACCCACAACATGCCGACAAGCTGAGGAAGATGATTGAAGCAGCTTGGAAAAATATTAAACAGCGACTGCAATTTCTACTGTAAAACTGAAGGAAAGAAACCACCAGCACTGCAGCACTTCTTCTACCGGCGCAGAAGTAGCTCTGATGCAGCTCTTCACTGTTTTTTTTTTTTGAAAGTTTATCTGCATCGATGCACAAATTATAAAGCGGAAGATCATAAATGGCACACGGAGTAAAAACTCTTGAGTGGTTCATGAAGATTCCTCGCATGATTACTATATTTCTGTGTCTCAGACTCAGTCACTCAATAGAATGGAAACGTTTTATCGAATCCTCGTGCAGGGAGGTGGGTGGAAGTTCTGGAAGAGCAGTCGTGCCATCGGATATGCAAGGCGCCGAAAGTCTCGTATTTCTGTTCCTTGTGCGTGAAAACGTCCATGCCGTTCTTGATTTTTAGGTCCTTGACGTAGCTCTATCCGAATGCACAACTTCTTTCCCTCCCAACTGTTTCTGGAGATGCTCCATTCATGGTAGAGTACGGCTTTTATTTCATGGAAAATTTACACGGGATTGCAGTGCTGGTGGGGCTGCCGCTGCTGGTACCCATCATGCAAACAGTCCAAGTTGTGTGTTTTGCATGGCAAGTAGTAGAGGGGGAAGTGCAGGGGTACACTCTGATAAGCTCACCCGCTCGTCCATGTGCTTGGATCGCTGCTCGTATATCAACCAGAAAAGTGTTAACCTTAACCGTCTTCGCAGATTGATGCAGTCACGCATGACAGATTGTGCCTAGCACGCATGCTATGCAAGACAAATTTCATGCTCTTTTCGCACCATGTGTTCTTGCATCACAAATTCCTCGTCCGTTATCGTTATCACTTTTTCCTGTGATACCGTACTTTTCGTGCCGACCCTTGGTTTCTGACATGATGCTACCCTTGTTGCTCGTCATCGTCAAATATGCATTGCAAAAGCGTGCTACTGGTACGTAATGAGTGAAAATCAAATACAAGTAGAAGTAGTAGTAATTGCATCGCATCAATAAATTTTCTCAGAATCTTCAAGAATGGACGACTTTCTCTATCATGTAGAACTAAGACTCGGTAAGTAGCGAAGCACATCAGACGCTTGATCATGTCACGAAAGACTGCAATCCAATTGGGACACGACTTTTGCGTGGGATATGGAAAACCGTTCTCCCATTTTCTCCTTCACTGTCTGACTGCGGTCTTTCAAAAACTGCCTGCGAGACGAAGCGACGTCCTGGTTCATCATTTTTCGGTTTTATACTAAGGGCAAATACTTCTTCAACTTTTACATTTAGTCTACCATTTTAGTAAAAGCTATGCTTTCTTTCGTCTATCTCACAACACCAGATGATATCATGTTTTGATGAACGAAATCAGAACCGGGGAGGCAAGATGAAGGAGCCATCTCCTGCAGCTATGAATGTCGACATCATGTTGAAAAAGAAACTTGAACTTCAACACAAAAAAATATACCGCATAGTGTCCTTCGAACTTTTCGTGTTTTTCCAGGCGTTCCCGGGCCTGCTGCGCCAGTGTGTTTGCGACGTCCTCCTTTATTTTCGCGAACTTTCGCTGCGAGGCGTCAGGTATGCATTGCAAAAGCATCGTGCTCGTCATGCTTCTCGTAGTAATTGGAATTCATTGCAACGCTACAAAAACTAGAGCGGGGTAACAAATGCGCCGTTATCTCGCAGCCGCGAGTTAACCTTCCGGCCGGCCGGACGGTTAACTCGCGGTTTGAATGGTTCTCAGTTGCTGAACGAGCCCAAAACCTGCCCGCGTGGTTTGGGTAGGTGTTGGGCTGGTTGAGCAGCTGAGAACCATTCAAACCGCGAGTTAACCGCCCGGCCGGCCGGCCGGAGGGTTAACTCGCGGCTGCGAGTTAACGGCACATTTGTTACCCCGCGCCTACACTACTTGGGCAGGAGTGTGACGAATTTGAATTTCTCATGCTGAATACCCGAAGAAACCAGGCATGTCATGCAATTATGAATATTACCACGTACGAGCACGATGCTATGGCAATAAAGGTGGATAGCAGTCTGCGCCTCGATTTTGGCTTGGATCTCAGCCTTATGCATTGCAAATATGTCTGGGTCTGGGAGAATGCAGCTTGTCAACATGCAACGTCGCGACCACGAAAAAATCTGTCGTGTTGTATGAACCTCGTCCCCGCCAAAAGCCGCTCGCTAATTGCTAGGCAAAATAAGTAGGCGGATTTCTCTCTCATGCGGGAAAGGCATTAAGATACAAGGCCGCAGCTTATGTCGCGCAGTGGGAGGGTGAACGAGTGGACAGGGGGGAAAGAAGAACGCCAGAGGATGGGCAAGGGGAAAGATTTCTGACGCAGGGTGGGGC